ACATAAAAAAACACAAAAACAAACTTCAGATTTTTAAACACGAAGAAAAGTATTCATTATGCCAATTCAATGGTTTGGCTATTCAGAGTAGAGTACATATCAACAATCTAATCTACGTAAATTCTGGCGGTGCTGATATTCTAAAATCCCCATTAGGTTTCTTTTGTTTCAGATTAATAAGTTGTCTTAGACTTAATTATGTCCCTAAATATTGAAAAAAATTAAGTCATCATATCTAACTATTTCTTCCACTATCGGTGTTCTATAGAAGAACCACCTAGTTTACATTAGATGGTTAAAGTAGCCTACTCACAAGACACATTTCATTTGGGTTAACCAAGGTACACCAAATTCTTTTGGAAATTATCATGAAACAATTTCTGCGGCTTGAAAATTTAATATTTACATAATCTCCTATGTGTAATCATTTTGACCACTTTTCGTCTCCCGCCTACGATAGACATTGCGAGTAGGCGCGAAGGACGATAGCCCTAGTCCAGTTGCCCATTATTTAGTTACACGTTATTATGTTTCAACATTTGGACCCGCCCTATACAGCATTATTTCGCCCTGACTATGGTTAGTGTAGCAAGATAAAATTTATATTTAGACACTGAGGTAAACAACAGATGTATTTTGAAGAGATGTAGCAAACATTTTCAAATAGAAAATGTCATTCACATTAAAAATTTTCATAATAGTTGAATGTTCCACTGATAACGGGTGCTGGTTGCTACTTTCAAACTTCTACTTTCTCACCCAGCATTTGTATTGACTATACTAGTTAATGTGACAAAGATGAAATGGTGTATATTTGTCCATTAAATTTCGCTTGGTTCAAAAGGTTGTACCTTGGACAAACATCAGTATAGTAACTGACATTAGTGCTTCTGTGGGTGGCTCAATTATTCAACTTCAAATAAGTATTTTGACCCTAAACTTGCGAATGGATATGAACGTCTATTTGTATTTATTTATAATCAAACAATATACTTTCTCCGGTACTTTTGTATTATACCGACCACCACACCGATACATCGACTTCCAAATATTTTTTTTAATTCGTTTATATAACAAAATATTCCTAACCTAACCTAAAACATAGTCCACCCCTTAGGTTAGGTTTGGTTAGGTTATAATTATTAGATGTGGTCGGTATAATACCAAAGTACCCTTCTCCTTTAGGTTTTGTTAATTTGATATATGATGCGACATAAAAGATGGTATGGTGTAATATACAAAAGTAAGTCGGCCTTTCAGTTGGACTTGGTTAAAAAGTTCAACTAAAATGTGTCAGTGCAGTCTATTGGTAGCTGATTGAAATAGTTTTCATTTTGCAAAACTGCCTCTAGCTTAAACCAGGAATTTTCTACTCATATCAATAGTCAAAGCCAATATTTAACTATTAGCTTCAACTCGGTAATTATTTGTACAATCGCTTGCAGCTGCTGACTAAGTGGTTATGAATGAATCATGTCGAGACAATGTCAATCTACGCTGATTGCAAGTGTCAAACATTGTGATTGTGTTTTAGTCATTTCCACTCTTAAAATAATCAGATAAAAAACACAAGGAAGGAAACATAATAAAATGTTGCAACATTATCTGTTTTTGTTTTTACTTTATTTTATTCATGGGCTAAGAGGCTAAACTGATACGGAAAAGTTATAGATTTAATTTTTCGAAAACACAGCAGTTGACGTAATTATCAAACTGATAACCATTAAATTTACAACAATATTTATTTTTGTTTTAAATTATATATTATATATTATAATTATATATTCAAACTTATTAATTTAAAGTTGATTGTAATATTTTCTTCACTTTCAACCCCATTACATATATTATACGATATAGTTAAAATTATAAACTGTAGCCTAACGTAAACTAAACTAACAAATGGAACCTTAACACGTGTTTTTTACTAGGTTGAGATGATAAAACTAATAATATCATGGAATGTTGGTTTTTTTATGTATACAAGTCAATTCTTTCGTACACCAACGCCTTTTATACGTTAACAAGATATAACAAGAACATCTAAAACAGCAGTTCCAAGTTGGTGAGCGGCGAGCTATTGCGAGTTGCCTTGCTAAATTAACTTTCATTTGCGCCGAGCATTATCTATCTTCGCCACTATAAATCAGCTGTAAGAGGAAGCATGCAGCTGTACGGTCTGCTTCAGCGTGGTAATTGCTACCATTGAGTATAAACCTAACCTTAGGGTTAGGTTTATACTCAATGTTGCTACTTAAGTGGCGTCCGGACTTTATGATGACGTATTTGCAGTTTAAAGCCACCTAACTCGTCACGGGACTTGTTGGATTAAACGATATTTCTTTCCGAAGGAAAATTCTGATTCAATTAAATTGGTTTAGGTTGATAAAACACCACAACGATTGTGGAGGTTTTGTAAGATATCCATGGGTCTTTGTCAGTTTTGAAATAAGCAAGGTTCAGCAATGAATAGTATATTTAAGCATTGAATGAAGATTCTGAAGTAGGCATACTGTAGTGAAATCTCGGTTTTAAGAAATATACAAATATTTTTTACGTTATCCCTTCGGGTTTCTTTTGTGAACTAATATCCAATTAATATCCAATAGTCAATGGTAGGACCAACAGCTGTTGCTATCAATACTGGACACCTTACGAGATTCAGCATGCATTTACTTTTCTTTAATACTTTCTTATGAAATTACGACCATACAATGCAGGTATTTTAAGCTAAGCATTTTTAAATTAGGTAATGTAGATTTACAGAAGATAAAAATGATTAAACCTCAAAATGCACCGGACAGAAACGCAACTCGAAATTACAGTATGTGTGTATAAATATATTATTCATTTTAGCAAATTTCCCAAATCGGAAATTAAATGTTTATTTACAAAATACCCACGGTTCCAGCATTTGACCTTTATAACGTAAAACGTGATGTGAATTTTCGAGGGTGGAAAGACACAGATGCGGTACAGTAAGTATGTGGTGGATATAATCATGGGGAGACACATGAACTACAGGGGGACTCAACGAGGAAATACCCCCCCCCCCACACTGATCAGCTGAGCGGATAACACTAGCTACTGGTTAATCCGAGTATTAGGGATTAGGGCTTTTACGGAATTACTTGTAATATAAAGTTTTAAAAACATATAATTTATTGTATCACAGTTATGAAAGTTTGATGTAAGCAAGTAAACTTGAAACGGTTCAGATTATTGACAACAGAAGTCAGCACAGACTCTGAAATTTTAAAATTCTGTAGGATGAAGGGCTTTTGCGAGATACCATCCAAACCCGCAAAAGGAGGATAAGAGTTTTTTTTTTAATTTACACCCAATATGCCTATAAAAAGAAACATTTAGGGGTCGATTTGCTGCACACAAAAATCCAACGAATTCTTTTAATGATACATATCGATTCAACAATTTAAAAACAACAATTAATTTACGATAATAGATATTTCCTACTACTGCATGGAAATGATCACATTTTCACACCTGTAAAGAATACGCAAAGTATCTCATTTCTGCTCTAGAGCGGGAATGACCATTCCCATTTTAAAATCACGAAATCTGCTTTTACTGTTGGCGTTTCTTTGCGGTTGACTATCTACTGTTTTCGTGTGATAATAACGTACTTTGCGCTCTTCATGCACAAATTGTAATTTACAAACCAAATATTATCACGATTTTAAAAAAAACCTCTGTTTTAACCTGATTAATCATTTGTATGTATTATTGTGTACTTACCAAATAGAAATAAAAGGCAGAGGATCCGCGGCCCGTAGTGTCGTCAATGGCGATGTTTCTTATCCCTGCATGAATGATGAAACGATCCACACCTGTAAACATTTCGTAAAATAGCTCATTTCCGCTTTTATCCCCCGCTCGCTAAATCAGCTGATTCCACTGTTGGCGTTTCTATAAAACACTATTCGGAAACGCATCTATGAAAACAGAAAAAGCAGAGATATCATAATACTGAAATTGTATATATAATTAAAAAGTTAATTTGTATGTTATGATAAGTTACTTAGTGGTAGGAAAAAGTTTGAGTGTTTTACGAGCACAAACAGTCCCTGCCGCTCTTGAAATTTATATGTATAACCAATGGCTACAGGGACAACAATATAGTTGTTTGAGGAGGGTTTGACTGGAATTCTCAACAAAAAATATAATCTTACTGGAATGCGAATTGGTTTGAAAGGTTTGAGTAACACATGTGTATTCTTATGTATATACCACTGCAATTAATCGATATGTGTAGATATACAATCAAAACCACGTCACTTATTCATCAATTGCCAATTTCAGTCAGTCAGCATTCTGATCAAGTATCTTTGAGTGAGAATAATCCATCCTCACAAAAATAGCAAACAACATTTATTATTACTGATATCAGCTACAATGTAAAAGTGGCCCAAGTCCATGTTGTTCGCTAAAAGTTAACTTGAGATATGTATTGGTTAGCATAATCAACATTTTTAATACCCTAGATGTGACTTAATGCAATTTTTTCAATTTTGACTCACTGAAAGTTAGACCAAAAGTTCCCATCAAACATAATCAACATAATCAAACGTAAACATAATTGAACGATTCAATTTTATGCAGATCCCACACTCTCTGTACATAGTTCTGTACATAGTCTACTGATTTGTTTCAGTTTTGACCACCTCAAACTCTAAATCAACAATTGGCCTAAGGTAAAACAACTAGATGCAGATGCAGGCCCATTACAGCGATTAATAGTTCCCCCTATACTCTAACCTTGAAAACTATCTCTACCATGACTTCCCTGTAGTAAATTGCCGTTTTCATAGCACAATTTAATTTTAAATATCAACACGTTACATATTTTATTCATAATTCTAATTGTTGTTCAGCCAATCAATTGTTTTAATTAAATGATCCAGGTTAGGTCTTGTATGGATGTAATACTGGATAAGGCAATTAAGCTGGATACTGCCGCGGCAGTGGGGCGGTATAAAATCAGCTGACTCACCGAGTACCCGTCATTCTGTGCTAGTCAGCTGTGCGAGTAACAAGTGCAACATAACCTCAAACTAGTGTCAGTGCCTTCTGTATTTGTGTTACCACACCCGTAAGTACTGATAGTTTTTTATATAGTATCTATTTAATGAAATCGTAGGTGTTTATTTTATAATTAGCTCTTTCATTAATAAAGTACAATCGATTTTAAAATACTAAATTTTGTGTAAAATATTAATTTATTTTCCACTATTTTTCTGGATATTACAGGAATGTGAAATTTTATTTTTTAGATTTATTATATAAAATCTGTTGACCTAAAAACCTCATATACTCATGTATTCATGCATTTAAACAATAATATTACTTGTAATACTATATTTTAATAATTTATCTATTTTGGAATATATTTTCACAGTATAATAATAATAGTAAGAGTAATAATAGTCAATTGTGTGTTTTAAACTGGGTTATAAATTATGTTGGTACCGGTAAGCTTATTCATAAAATAATAATGATCAGCTAATCACAATAAAAGCACAGTTTTCATGCTCTTCTTATATGCCACTTGAAAAATGCATAAATATAACAAAAGCAATTAGTAACTATTTAAAAGAAAGTGTCTCCTCTATATTTAAAACAAAATTTAAAAAAAAAACTTTTAATGTAAATTATATAATTTAATAGAAAAAATTAGGCCCTAATATTTTTTTTTTTTAAGTGAGTAAACATTTGTTACACTTTATATAATACTCAAGCTTATAATAGCATAAAAAATCTGAATTCAATATTCTATACAAATTATCTTACAATATAAATTTGAGATAGAGTTAACAAGCTAAAAACAATATAGATATTAATTCTTCAATACTTTTATCAGTAAATATAATTGATAGTTTAATTTTATTCTAATCAAATTCTCTCATACAATAGCCCTAGTAAAAACTTTTTAAAACCCTAATTGAACAAAAGAGTAAATGAAACAATACTGTTTCAGAGGAATATGTATATTAGTAGCAATATAAAATAGCTCATGCTTCTCAAGGTTAAAGAGCAATTTTCATGGTTTATACATCATATTGACCTTATATGGTTTGATTTCCACTGGTTAACTTTAGGAATAAACTTGTTCCATGTTTTATCAATATAGGTGGTCCTATATAAACAAGTTAAAAACGTTTCAGATTCGTATATTACACAAAACCTTCATTTAGTCAATGATTTAACAGAACAAAATGCTGAAATTATATCTTTTAAACTCTTAGTATAGTAATGAACTAGTAAACATGTTGCTCGAAATCGAGCAATTGCAAAGAAGTAAAGTAGTTATTTAAAAACAAATAAAAGTCATCATAATTTCCGATGAGTTTAAAAGACTTTGAAATGAAAAATAACAGCAATGAAAATATACAGCTGATCAAAATGTAAACAATCATGTTCTTCATAAGGATAACATGGGAACTTTAACAGCCACTGGGGCAGAGCCCAAGGGACTTTTTCAAAAATGTAAGGCCAGTTTGCAAATCTACGCGACACGCTCTTTCCAATGAGACGTCAATGGATAAAATCGGTTAAGAAATGGCGGAGGAGTTCAACCGACAAAGTTTCATGTAGCGTATTAATTATATAGATATGTTTTTGAAAGTCAATATCTAGGTGTATTTTAACTGTTCTTGCTTGAAACTTGCATATAAAATTATATTTGTTTCTTAATTTTCTGTAATCTATTTGTAGTGTATTACTTTTATGATTTGTCACCAACGACAATATCTTACATAAAAGTGTGATCTTGTTAATTTTGAGGACCAGTTTTAATTAATGATCCAGTCAGTGATCACAGATTGAGCTATTAATTTTGTTATAACTACATAGACTCATCATAGCTGGCAATGACTTCCACAGTCATTAGCTCATAAATACACCCTAATTGGTAAACCTGCTAATTGATTACTTACCTGGCCAATTTCCTCTCACACAATGAATTTAGGAGGAGAAATTGATCCCCTAACACAATGGAACATTCTTTTTCAACATAACTTATTGAATTGGATTACAGTGAGTTTATAGAGTGACTATATTATGAACCATCTATGAACAATTAATTCTGTTTGAATGGCTTTGGTAAACATTTCGCAACTGGAGTTGCAGTTATTGCTAATGTAGAGATATATTATAGGTAATTATTAGGGTGCAAACTTATTTGGAAAAAAAATTTAACATATCTCTACTACAGGTCGGTTATTAAGTATTCATAATACTGAATTTAAACTTATAAATTCTATAATTAATTTGGATTGTGAATTTTAAGTTAGGTATTGAAGAGAGATACTTTGTAAACTGTTATATTATTCTTTATGTATACAAAAAAGTTCTGTAGTGCAATACACTGCATATACAAACATTTTGTAAATTAAAATGAAACTACAAAATTTTACACACAATTTCTAATCTTTACCTTGTGTGAATCAATTTTCTAAAAAACCATCTAAAACTCAATACGTACTGGTACTTAAGTTTCATGTGAATAAGAGTTGTTTAATTTTGAATTCATATCATGCTCATATCAAAGCCTAGGGGTAGTTGGAATATTTTAATGAAAAATCTTCGTATGCGCATCTAAATCTTCAAAAAAGACTGTTTAAATATAATTACCATTTGTTCAGTACAGTACTATCTTGAACAAAATTTCCTTTTGCTTTTATGTGCAATAAGTCAGTGGTTTATTTTTCTGGTTGATGATGATTGTTTATGTTATTTCTTGTTGCCTAAACTTGTTCATAATCAACTTATAATTTCTCGAAGGTTTTGGGGTTATTTCTCAGAACATAAATCATTTGGAAGTTATTCTGATACAACCTGTACCCCTTAGCTACTTTGTTTTTTGTTTGTTCTACAATTTTAGGGGGAGGGAGAATTAATGATAATCAAATCAACTGCCTAATTAATTTAAATTGATTAACGATAAATTAACTGGCAGCTGAGGTGCTTGCCTAACAATAATAAGTTGCTGTTTCGATCATGAGAAAAGTCAGTAGCTTTTTGATTGTTTTAATATACCGTACTGGTCCCCAACTGTTCTTGATCATTGGACTGTAAATAAACTAGTTGATCTGCCCATACAAGCTTCACAACGGGACAGGAATACTTAAGAACAATGCACGAATACTTGAACAGAACCTATGGTTCATAAACTGCATGAACATAAACAAATGACTTTGCTGGCCCCGAATCCTATAATAATAGCATTAACATCACAACATGGGTAAACAATGATTTTATTATAGCCTAAACCTTAGACAGTTCCATTTAAGCTATTTGATATGTTTATGATCCATAGCAGGGATGTTCAAGTATAATTCATGAGAACAATGTACGAGTCTCTAAATTGTAAAATAAACAGTTACACTTACCATAAAGGCAAATTTGAATTGTACTTATCGCTCTCCAGTATTTAGTTGAAAATCACTTGTGTATTTGCTATGAGAATGAATCAAAACTAATAACCTTATCATAATGTAAACATTTATATAGTGAGAATCAAAATATTAAAGTAAACAGAAAAAAAGTAAATAAACTTTATTTGTTTTTATGTAACAGCTGATGCATAATATTTTTAATGTGATCAAATAATACAACCCTCTAATTTATTTATTTTATTTATTTATTTATTTACCAACGGCAATACACCAATTTACAAAGATAATCAGTTTGACAGCTAGAACAGTGAATATTTGTGCTTATGACTAGATTGAAATTTGTGCCTTTATAGGAGAGGGTTTAATGAAAAAAATTAAATTTTTGGGGTTGGATTCACATCAATATGTTTCATCCAGGCTCATGGTTTACTTTTAAGCTTGTGATCCTTATTTGCTTTATATACACTATAGATGATGGCTAAATAAACAGACAATCTTAGTCGGTAACAAAGTTACACAGATCATCTCACACCATTCTACACTTACCTTGCATTCATATCATTGACTATTGGATATTTGTATTCAGTTTAAAATACGAACATATGTGACCTCGGTAATGTGATAAAAAAGCGATAAGCTATGATGGCCCAAGTAGGATAAGTAAGCTCAGTAGTGATAAGTCGCTATTTAAATAAATTTCTACCTAGCGGGTTTATATAGTAAAACTGAACAAATTGACTACCTACTACATTTTTAGTTTGTGAGGACGTAAATGGCAATATTACCATGACCATGCTTAAGTCCTTGAAACACTGAAGTGGGAGGTGTTAGGGAAATTAATTATATATATATAGGTATAAACTAACAAAATTGAGTTAACTTACTCAATCCTTCAAGATACCTTCTTGTTTGATACATTATTTGACCAGAGTTGATTATAATACTTTAATACATTTATTGAAATGTTGACCATACAAAACTAGGTATTTTACAAGTATGAATGGAAATGAGTGAAGGATGAGTGGCACAATCTTGCAGCCTTGTTAGTGACTAAGGCCGACATTAACCTTAGACACAGCTCTTAACTCTCTCTTACACCATACATAATTAATAACACCATACTGACAATGGCTACAGTTTATTGGAGTCCGAACACTGTATGACTGATGGAAGTCTATATACACTTGGTTCATTGATTTATGTCATTACACAGTATTTATGTATTCCAAAACCAATTTTAAAATCATGTTTTCTCTTTTCAGACCCTCAAAATGTGTGACGACGATGTTGCCGCTCTTGTTGTGGACAATGGATCCGGAATGTGCAAAGCTGGGTTCGCAGGAGATGACGCTCCTCGAGCTGTATTCCCCTCAATTGTTGGACGTCCCAGATATCAGGTATAACCTAATAGTCTATGGTTTAACACTCTAGATCTGTGGCTCAAACAATTCCAAAACATGGTTGTTTGAACATGTTCAAACTTTTGAGCTTTCATGTTAGTTTTGGCACTGCATAATATTCAAGAAAAAAGTCTGTTAAACTCTTAAGTAATAATGATTGATTGATAAACTGTTCAGAGCCTTACAGCTTAAGGTTGAAATCATATTCTAAATGGATTTTATGGTTTTAATGCAATTTCAATCAATTTGGTATTTTAAGCCCAGAATTATTCTTTATAAATTTTGACTTATAATTTGTGACAAGTTGTTATCTTTTTTACACTAGTGAAAACCAGTGTTATTGTTCCAAATAAATCAAAATGCTGTTTTACTTCTCAAAAATCCAATATGTTAATTTCATAACCTTCGGTGCACCAATATTGAAGCTATTCATATAATTTCCACTCTTTAACCTCTCTTTTCACTTGTCTTAGCATTATAGTTTAGTCCCAATTTTCTTGGTTTTAATCATAGCGTTCTTTTCAATAGTAGTATTGCCGGACGAATCTTGAGCAGACCAAGTCAGTGTTGTCTAGATGGTCCCACGTCCCACACCACCAACTGGCTGGTGGTCTGGTTTGGTGGTGGTTGCTGGATGATGGTGTTACTGATGGTTTTAAACTCGTTAGAGATTACCTTTATAACTTGTCTTTCATGGTCCTGACTATTAATATGATTACCAAGTTACTAACTCCATTCTAAACTCATACTTCTTATCTCTTTGTGTTCAAGTTAAAATGAACAACAGTGTGGCTCACAATCATTGTAACAACAATAATGATGATGAAGTTAACAAATGATGATAAGCTATTTTTTATACCGTAAAGCTAGAGCTAGAGTATAGAAATTATCCAAAACAAAACCAGTCTATCTAACTACAAAGAGAAAGAGTTTGTTCTTTGTTTTGTTTTGGTACAGTTACACATGTTGTGGACTTGGACACCCAAGTTCAATTTAGTTGCAAAATTAACACTTATGTTTTCAGGGCATCATGGTGGGCATGGGACAGAAGGACAGTTACGTCGGTGACGAGGCTCAGTCTAAGAGAGGTATTCTCACAGTCAAGTACCCGATAGAACACGGAATCGTCACCAACTGGGACGACATGGAGAAGATCTGGCACCACACGTTTTACAACGAGTTGAGAGTGGCTCCCGAGGAACACCCTGTACTGCTCACAGAGGCTCCCCTCAACCCCAAGGCCAACAGGGAGAAGATGACCCAGGTGAGGGGAGGGTGGCTATAATGCTTACCCGGTAAATCAGTAAAGTCACCAATCAGTTTGATCTTGAGCAAAGTCTATGTTTTTCATGGTTCAAAACTGGACCCAACAGTCCTTAATCATTGGGCTTTTATGGTTATGGCCTACAGCAACAGCTGATCCTAGTCAGTAACATGTTACTTAACCACTTCAATAAATGACTCTGAGGATTACTGTAAATTAATGGTTTTTTTCTAGTATTCGTGGTTTGTAAACAAAATGTTCTTAAATTACTATCAGATTTCAGGAGAGAAACCCATATTACTTATACCTTACTTGGTAGTTTTATTAGGTTTTGAACATTGCCTACCTAGAGTAGACCACACAAAGATTGTCCAGAAGAAATGTTAAGAGACATTCGTGACACCTTTTAAACTTAATTGAAATTTTTCAGCATCACATCAAAACTCTTATTCGACCATTTTCATACTGTTTCCTCTAGTGCTCTAGATGTATACCAAGTAATGTCCACTAATTCCCCTTGTAAAAATTATTGATTCAGTTATAAGAGGTTTATAAAGTCTACACATTTACATCTTATAACTACAACATTCTTTGGGATTCAATTTATTTAATTCAATTTTTACATACTCTCATTTAAAAATTCGGGGAGAATATTCTTTTAAGCAATATTTTAGATGTACGAGTATTATGTTCGAATACATCTAAAATATTGCTATTAAAAGTTATTGTTTGTGTTTAGAATGTACAATTATCTTTATGTACACTTGACTATTACTAGTATGGTACTAAACTAAAATTGTTGTGTCTATGTATGTGTGTATGTGTCTATAAAGACTCTTCATGACACTAATTATTGATGAAGAAGGTTGTTTGGCTTAGTATTCTCCTTGAAAATTAGCCCCTAGGTTTGAATTTCTAAGCCATTGATTTTTTCATTAAACAACCTACCTGTCAGTTTTCTCAAGGTATTTTAATCTTTTATTTACTACCAATAATATTAATACAGACACTAATAATTATGAAAATCTCCGCCTGATTGCAGATCATGTTTGAAACCTTCAACACCCCAGCTATGTATGTAGCCATCCAAGCCGTCCTCTCCCTGTATGCTTCTGGTAGAACCACTGGTATTGTACTGGACTCTGGAGATGGAGTCTCACACACAGTTCCTATCTACGAAGGTAGGTTTTAATGTACTATTCTTACAAATTGTTGTACTTATTTATCAGGTACTTTTGAATCAAATAGAGGAATGTAAATCAAAATTACTCAAATTGTGACCCTTTAAGGAACTTAAAATATTAACAACCATCGAGCGCAAACAGAGGTTGTTTCCTCCTACAAATTAATAATGAACAAAATTCTTCATAATTCTTTCTTCCATCAAGGAGATTTCTTCTATCAATTATCAAAATGGTACTTTTATCTTAAATGTAATAGTAAGAGTTATAAAATGGGATTGTGGTGCTTATTGCTAGAATGGTACATGAGATTACCAGTGGAGTGCAAGATATAAGGTAGTCTTCAAAAAGTAATTTTCGTAAAATAGATTCGTAAAAGATAAAAGAAACCTCTTTGATAACTTAATGAAGGGGTTATAATTGTTTCAGTCTAATAAATTAAATTATTACAAATCCATCTATTTATCGGTGTTTTGTTAATTATCATTCCATTGGTGGTGCAAAAATATTTGAGAGCAACTAATTTATATTTATTAAACAGTTTTAAAACTTAGGTACTTGAAATACTCTTTTAATTTTACTTTAATCAATTTTTATTGGCTCCATTTTTAACTTTACCTCATTTCTCCTCAGGTTACGCCCTTCCTCACGCCATCTTGCGTCTGGACCTAGCTGGCCGAGACCTGACAGACTACCTGATGAAGATCCTCACCGAGAGGGGCTACAGCTTCACCACAACAGCTGAGAGAGAAATCGTCAGAGACATCAAGGAGAAGCTGTGCTACGTGGCTTTGGACTTTGAACAGGAGATGGCCACAGCTGCCTCCTCCAGCTCTCTGGAGAAGTCCTACGAGCTTCCTGATGGACAGGTGTGTGGTTTTGGAGGAAAAACTGTGTGTGGTTTATGATTTAAAATTTGGAATTGGAGCTGTATCCCTCGTAACAAATCGAGAAATCCATGAATTAGTTTTTGGCCTATTATAATTAATTATTCCATAGAGGTAATCACTGTCATTTTTAAAGTTACTTAAGGTCTTGACTCAACATCTTCATTTTTGAGGCTCTAGGCAACATATTATCTCTTCTATGCGTAATATTTCCTCTGATGAAATTAAATTGTTTAAGTACTTATTAAAATATATCTAGTTTTGTCATTAATTCAAGATCCTCCATGCAAAGTTTACTTTCTTAAACTTTAACTTTGATCTTGGAAATTATCTGTACAAAAAAAACTTTCTATAATGAAATGAAAACAACTAATCATAAACCCTACAATTTCAGGTCATCACAATCGGCAACGAGCGGTTCCGTTGTCCCGAGGCCATGTTCCAGCCGTCCTTCTTGGGAATGGAGTCTTGCGGTATCCACGAGACCACCTACAACTCCATCATGAAGTGTGACGTGGACATCCGTAAGGACCTATACGCCAACTCCGTCCTGTCTGGAGGTACCACCATGTACCCAGGTATTGCCGACAGAATGCAGAAGGAAATCACAGCGTTGGCTCCTTCCACTATGAAGATCAAGATCATTGCTCCTCCTGAGAGGAAATACTCCGTATGGATCGGAGGTTCAATCCTCGCCTCCCTCTCCACCTTCCAACAGATGTGGATCTCCAAGCAAGAGTACGACGAGTCCGGCCCCTCCATCGTCCACAGGAAATGCTTCTAAACAATCCGGACATCCCGAACGTTTACCACTGTATTTGTTGCGTTTACAGCTTACTATTCCGATTATTTATTGTAAATCTTATTCAAATCGAACTTTCCAGTTCTTCCTTAAGACTTGTAGTGTAGATTTGTTATTTATTAAACTATTTATTTTTGACTGTTTTATACTGTTTAGTCTTGTACAGTTTTATAATTTTAAGAGACGCCGCGCTGTGTGTCTAAAGTCTATCTTACTGTGAAATAAAATTATTGTTGAAAACACAAAAGTTCTATTATTAATTTCTGTTCTCTTTCCAAATATCATAGGAACTTATTTCTCAGGAGTTGAACTACTTATATTCCAAAAGCATTTGACATAATTATTTAATTATTTTTTTAAGTAAATATTAAAACTACTGTACTGTTAATTCCACCCTTCAGATGAAGTCCAATTACCTATTTAAGTAATGCTTTTAACATTGGTAATATTTCCTCCCAAAACACAAAAAATAACACTACAAAATATTATAGAATCATTATATCAAATTACTAAACTTAGTATACCTACATGCATTAGTATGTCCAGAAAAGCTTCACAAAATCATAAAATCATGGAAGGTTTTTTCTAGTGTAACTTTTGCTATACTCGTACAGTACCTATACCATATGAGCAATACGTACGTTGAGTTTTAGTTCGTTTGATGACTTTGCTCATACCTGTACTCACCAGGGTTTGCCCTACAAGGTGACAGCTCATGAGTGAACTGGTTCCTCACCTTCAGCCCACCATACCACCATAAACAGACCGTAGATGGTCAACCTCAAAGTCTCCACGGCCTTCAAGTGTAGGTTGTCCTTTCCTTTTTTGAATTTTATATCAAAGGGTTTGCCAATTTATTGGCAACCACATAAATCTCTATCATTACTTTCAAGTTGACTTTTGCTTTTGGAAAACTTGATTTTTGTTAAATGTAGGTAATAACTCTAACTGCATAATTAATATTTCTCTTGGTCTATGAATTAATTTCAATTTTCTTCACTCCAAATAAGTTGCGTTTTGAGAGAATCCATGAAAATTAAAAAAAAACTTAATTCTACTCAACACTTTGAAAAAGGGGGAAATATTTTATTTGTATATAGGTGAAATAAATCAAATTGGTTCAGTATATAATCAAATCGTAAATAAAATTACAAAACCAAGCTTTAACATCTCACAACATTAACAAAAGGCTACTAGAATTCCTTTCAAATAACAATGAATATAATTTGTTACCTCCTAATTTTAATTTATATTATTTATTTACAGCAATTTTACTACCACAACCTCTCAGTTTCTACTATAGATAAAATAGTAACTTATTTCGTGGGGCAGTCTCGAGGTAGAGGGGGCAGAGAGAAGAGAACAGGAGTCACTGGAAGACTGCTCCAGTCTCCTGGAAACCTGGAATAACATTTGTGTTTTGTTAATTCAAACCATGTTAATTAGCAACACACAATTACATGGTGATAATGTACAGATCGATGTATTTCTTTACTAGTTATTGATTGAAATTGATATGTTAGGTAAAATTTCTAAATGTAAACCGAAGAGGATTAAGAGAAACACAGCAAAATGAAAAACCTTATGTTAACTTATTTTCAGGAAATTTTATTTGAGATTTGCGTGGTAATTGATTGTAATTGATTGTGGTAACCTGCATATCTGAAAGCGTATTACACAGGATCACTTACGTAATCCTATAAAGCATACCATAAGTATGCACTGCCAGAGTTTGTAGGGGTTACTCTTTATAGTAGTTAGGCTCATTGGTGCCAGGAAGACATGTTTGATTTTAACTACTTTGGTTTTACTATTTATGATTTAAGCTACTTTTCCTTAATAGAGTTTTTCAAGTATGACTTTGAAAAATAATCTCTCAATTAGTTCTGCAAGAACAAGAAGAGGCCTCAGACCTGATGGGTTAGACACTCGTGTATACTGACCCAGTTGTAGAATTAATTAATTGCTAGAATAATAGAATAAAGCAAGTGATTTCAAAATTGTCTCATCTCGACAGACCGGTATTTTTACCATCCTTTATCCCATAAATATTCCAAACCTAAGCCGGCTCCAGACATGCGCCATTCGCAAAGCACGAAATATTTTACGTCGATTTAGTCGTCTTGCTATTTGCCGATTTACGAGTAGACGTCTACACACGTGTTTTTTTCCGAGCAACTGTTCATTTCGGGACTAGCAAAAATGTGTTCACTTTGATGTGTGCAAAAAACCGACAATGAATGGGAAAACACAAGCACGAGCATTTGCTGCTTACTAAATAGACAAACACCTATCCACACTACTCGCGATTTGGCGAGTCGCTGCTCGGTGCTTGGCGAATGGCGCATGTGTCGAGCTGGCTTAACAGCTGATAGTGAAAAATACCAAAATATTGGTTGAGTGGTAAAGTCATTGCTACCTGTCTAGTTCACTTGTTTCTTTTATCCGTTTACATTTACACTGTACAAATTTAAAATCATGTGCTAAAACTTCACAGTACAGTAAATCCAAATAAGTCAGGACTGTACAATTACTTTCAAACAACTATCAACCAAATCACCAATGTGACTAGATTGGAAAGCCCAAAAAAGTGACAAACTCACCTTTCTCCACTGCTCTGGTTGCACTGCATGTAAATAGGAGACTCTAAATAAAGCTGATTTAGGATACTTGCTCGAACTGGTGTCCAATCAATAGCCTTGTAGTTGTCAGATATCCCTAGTTTAGGTGATGTTGGTTGGTTTTCCCATCTAAAAAATGCACCATAAAAAATTACAAAATCTTACAAATTCAGGAAATGTAAGATAGTAGTTTTCATCACTAGGAGCGAAAGTGGCTCTTTTTGGTACGCAATCGTGTTGGAAATAAGATTAAGTACCAAAAAGACACTTTTGCTCCATGTGATGAACAGCTATTTTCATCATACTGTGGAAATAAGCTTCTAATTGTTATAAAATTAGACCACATAATTTAAGGTTATAAAAAGTCGTCATCAATGTTTACACTGTTGTTTACAAAAATAACTTTAAATATTGTGTGGTTAGTAACGTTTCCATAATGCACTGATAACATTTTGAGGTTAGCAAACCGAAAAATATATCATTATTCTATATTTTTTCTGTTCCCTATTTGAAGTTACCTGAAAACTATGATTTTGCTTACGATTTAGAGAACTAAAAACGGCTGCTTTCCAAAATAATAAAAATTATGATAAAAATTTTTAAAAATGATTGTATGATAAAAATTAATTTTTTCCTACAGTCACCCAAAAAAGTTGGCTTCCTTGTACTGTTTATAGTACAGAAAGCTGCTAATTGCTGCATATTTATACTTTGCCGTACGGTTTATACTTTGGCGTACGGTTTATACTTTGCCGCACATCAGGATTCCAACGAAACAACACAAAACAGCGTGGTTCTATTATGCACGTAATCCTTGTATGCTTGGAAATAGGTTGGCAACACTGAAAGATAATAATACTATGAGCAGCTGATTGACTATTATAACTATGATTTAACCTGTCATTTTGTGTTTATAGTTTCGGTATTTCTGAACTTTCTGGACATTTCTTTTAAACGTTTTTAAAACATTCCTACGATCTTAATAAACAAGAAAATACCTTTAAAGCATTTTTTTAGGCGCGGAAACCACTTAAAATTACAAAAACATACGGAACTATATTCTCAAAACGCGGAGCACATTTCTTGCCGAGGAAATATAGCGGAGTGATACGGACCGCGGGTACTACTTTCTCTAGGGCACCATTTGTGTTGCCAGCTGAACCTAAAAACGTGTTGTATAGTGTTTGAAAGACTAATTATTTATATGCTTTATAGTGACTGTAGGAAAAATATAATGTGTAACACGAGTGAAAAAGGCCTTTGCTGCACTCGAGATCACTGCTAAACATTGCTCTCGTGTGCAGCAAATTGCCACTTTCACCACTAGTTACACAAATAACTATTTCATATTTGTTTATTCAAACATATTGATATTTTTGCAAAATTAAATCCAAGCCAATGGAAGGGTTTAAATAACTGCCAACCAATACCGAAATTGGGCTTTCATCTTTTTTTATATTCACACCATTTACGTTTTAAAGTTCACCAATCTCAGGTCATATTATAAACTTTATTGGAAATAATTTTAGAAAATCACTATTTTGTACTATTGTTAGGTTTGTATTTTAATTCTATATACGAAATACGAAATTCATTGTGTTCTATTACACTGGTTACACACTGGGCGGTTTCTGCCGGGACGGCGAAACTGCCGTTGCCGTCGTTTTGGTAGTAGTCTACACATTTATATGGAAGGTTTGGTTACAAATAGGGCGGCATGAACACCGTGTGGCCATATTTGCCATTTCAGGCCGCTGTGCAGCCGTCCAGTGCCACTGCGGCAGGCGGTATTTTTGCCGCTCTTGTCACCGCAGTGGAGTATGTGAGTAAATGGGCATTTACACATTTGGCGGTTTTTCTACCATTTCCTCAATCAACTAAAAGTTGTCATCATCGCATTACTACACACAATTCCTCATTTTAGTATTTTTCCGTTGTATTTTGACTGTAGTCAAGTAACTCGTTAAATGACATAATTGACATACGAAAATAGTTATAAATCGTTCTTTATCATTCCTCAAGTCTTTAAACAACGTACATAATGTGATAACTTCTTTTCTTCTTTTGTTTATGGGACGTATCCAACAAGACGATTTTTCTGCTGCCTTCGTTTCTTTCAACGGTATGACAGAAGTTGTCCGAAGTGCTAAGAGTTGTTGCCTGTTCATTTCATAGTAATATGTAAAATAAATTTTCTTTACTAAATAATGGTCTAAATTGATTAAACGATATATAAACATTAAAATAACTGAACAATAATCATAAAACATAGAAGCCACTACACAATAAGCTATAGCTTAGAGGACTCAATAAATAACAAACACACCCAAAAAGTGTCTGTAGCTACTAATATTGGCAGTATTTTTCAGATATTTGGGGGGTGGTATTTTAATTGCTACAATGTATAAGCACTCAGATTTTCTCTACGAAGAGATGGCAAAAACCACCCAGTGTGCTGTAACCAGCATTAGTCCATGGGATTCAATCTAACAAATTAATACACCATCCAAACATTTGATGCTTTGGTATTTCAGACCACTAAAATAATGTTTATTTTAAATGTACAATAACATAAAATTATGAGTGTAGAAGCAAGCATAAAATTTATCCATATTATGCAAATGATCAATCATCATCAATGATCAAATCCAACAGAAATAACCTACTTAAGCTAAATTTTCTGTGTATAACTGTCTCTCACCTGTAAAGTGATATATTCTCTGATCTGATAAATTCTTACTTGTCATTGTCAACAAATTATATTTTTACTCTTTGACTGACCTGCGTCACTTGTTAACTGATCTTATTCACATTTACTAATCTGACTCATTTACTGACTTTTCTTACTCGCTCATTGACTGATCAGACCAACTTAGTGACTCAGTGACTGATTCGACTCACTCATTGACTGATCTGAAGTATGTCTGGAGACTCAAGTCACTGATGGAGCTCTTGCAGACCTCCAGGTTGATGGCTGGGTAGTAGTAGACGTAGTTGACACACATCTCATCTGAGATGGCAAATCCTCCCACGGTGATGTTAGATCTTCCAGTAGTGTTGTAGATGCAAGTGGTGATCAGAGCATCTCCCTATGAACAAGATAATTGTTTTTTTATACAAAGGAAATAAAGTAGCTTATTAACACATTCGCTGCTGAAACCTTTAAACAGGCGCTCGCCAATGGCAGCGAGGCCCGGGCGGAGCCCCGACGCGCTAACTGAATCAGCGATCGCTATTGGTATTGAAATATCTCAGTAAGACGAATCACAAAAGAGCAGTGGTGATTGATCTGCGTTACTCCGAAAGTGGACGTAGTTCACTGAAACACCCAAAGGTAGCAGCACTGCCTGGATCAATAACCAGAGTCTTTGTAATACGGCTCGAACTGAGAAAATCCCCGAAAACGGGACAAAAGCATTGCCAGACGGGATTTTACGGGCAATTTTTGTACCTACCTACATCAGAATAAAGCTCGCATTATAAGCTACAGGCTGTTTAAAACTTCCTTTTTTTCTTTTACTAAAAATGCCAAATATACAATGTTAAGTACAGTAGACTCCCTCTTATCCGGACTCCTCCGGACCGAGGCCAGTCCAGATAACGGTTTTTCCGGTAAAGCCGACGTCCCCAAAAACTTGTTAAAACAGACCGTTTACGGTGATATTCGACTTAAATTTAAAAAAAGCATTGTATTCAGACATGTGATCACTGGTCTCAAATCTTTCCCACGAGAACAGTCGTTTCAGTACCGCCCACTTCCTGCCGATCTAGTCCGGTTAAACCAATGTACTGATAAAAATTGTCCGGTTAAAGAGATGTCCTTTCCCTCGAGTGTAGTCCGGTTAAACCGATGTCCGGTTAAAAGGTGTCCGGATAAGAGGGAGTCTACTGTAAGACATTTTCAAAAATATTTGAGCTGGAACAATATTATCTTCATTTGTAGGTTTAAGTGGCCTGTTTCATCACTGAATTCTTGGTCTTCCGGTAAGAGCTGCCTCAGGTCGGTATTTACAATATTTACAAAACCAGACATTTGGCTCATTCCTGATGAGGCATCTTCAGTGACAAGGGATTTTGTGCTATTTACATTACAAAAGCATCCCCCCCCCTAACTGTAAATTAAACAGCTCTTACCCCATTTCATTATAGCACAGCTTGCTTACTTATCCACCTCACAGCTTACCGGAATAACATGGACAGGTCGCTTGAGTCGTCGTATCTCTTGGAAGTGAGTGCTGTAGTGATTATCCCGGTTGAGGTTGGGAAGCTCTCGACCATCCCGGACATGCCGGGTGAACACCCGAATACCCGTGAGGTGGGTGTGAAGCTGAGATCCAAACACAATAATACCTTCGGGTGGAAGATTCTAGAAGTAAAAATATTGTCATATGTTAAAAAGAAGTTATGTTTTACTCCATCAAGTGCTGGTTATTATTTTTAACTAGTTTGTCTTCCGTACTTGGTAATACAACAAGGTTTGGACACAGAAGAGAGTAATGTAGTTTCTTAACTTTTTCTTATACCGTACTATTTACTAGCTAAACCCACCATTAAACAAACATTAAACAAACAAAACTCACTGTGCAAATTTGTTTACCCAATTATCTATGTTTTAATTCAAATATCTGTGTGGCAGATCAAAATCAATAACATTCATTAATAAAATATGAACAAATAAATTTCAAATACCTAATGCAAATGTATAATAATGTATTTTTATTTTGGTGTTATCCACTTTGGACATCCGCAGAATTGGATGAAATGATGATATTCTTTTTGTGGAGAGTGTGTGATCAACCAAATCTGTATTTTTCCCCCTTTAGCTGGAGCACACACAAACAAAAGCTATCTCTTGTAATACTTAAGGAGGATATTCTAACTGACTGCCTTTACCTTTTGTAAAGTAAATTATAACAGGAGGCAGGAGGACTGCTTTGATAGATGGGTTCAGGAGTACAAGAGGTTTTAGTTGGGGGCACAAGGGAGAGAAAAAGTTCCTCACAAGGAAGGGGGGGGCAGCAGTGGCGTAAATAACATCCCGGCAACCCCAGCAGTGCAAGGGGGGGCGTCGAGGTCTAGGGGGCACCAAGGTCAAGGGAGTGCCAAGGTCCAGGGTGCGCTAAGATCCGACTGTCACAGCTATTAATGTAAATTATAACAAACAGGACTGCTTTAGTAGATGGGCTCAGAGGCGCAAGAGATTTTAGTGGTTTATTGAGCAAGAGATTAGTTGGGTGGCACTGAGGTCCGAATGTCACAGCTCAAAAAGGTGATGTCGTTCCTGTGACCGTGGGCGATATTAATGAAGTCTTCCAAACCAATTAATATATTTATGATTTTGCCGCAGTCGTAAAAAGATTAATATGTTGTTTCCATGATCACGGGAGACAAATAAGATAATATGTCTACAAGATCAAAGAAGATATTAACAATTTGGCTCAATCGCAAAAAAAAAATTACTTTACTTCCTTGACCATGGGATATGAAGAAGATATCTTCAAAACCGAAGAATGTATTCACAATTTTACCTCGTTCCCAAAAAAGATGACACTGTTTTCTTGGTCACAGGAGACGATGATGAGGTCTTTAAGACCTGTTGCTATGATTACAAAATACGATGACAAGTTTCAATGACCACGGGGAACGATGATCATGTCTACATAAAGGCAGCAGATATTTAAGATTTGGATGTGATAACGGAAAAGATCACAATGTTTCCATGACCGAGGGAGGCGATTAAAAATAATCCGTAAGAGTTTTCGGATTTTGCTGTGATCACAACTTTTGCTGAGATAAACAAATAAATCATAAGTGCATGATGATGTTCTAGTGGGGGGGGGGCCTTGCCCGCGTGGTAGAGGGGTGGGGGGCTCCGCTCAATGTACTTGCGCCACTGGGGGGACTGAAATTGTCTCTCTTGGGCCCATAGAGGAGACATGCAAACTTCGGGCCTGATAACAAATACTCGTCTGATAAAAATTGACAGTTGGTTGGTAAAGGATTAATGAACTTACAATGCCAGTACACTCGGAGATACAGTATCCACTTAGTGGAAAGTGAGGCTGGCCTGGAGGAATGGCCATCTTGTCTATATACTCCAGCCCCAACTCTATAACTCCTGCATCATGAGCACGCAGTGTAGGTGACACGTACACTCTCAGGCCAGAACTGTCCACCATACCTGTGGGGGTAAATTATCAATGGTTTCAGGTATATAAATGCATAATCAGTAGGTGTTCTTCAGTAGTTTTACCTGCCCTTTTATTTGCTATGATATGAACCGATAGTAAGATAAGTTCTTCAAACCCGCAACAAAATCAGCTAGAATATCCAATATTTATAAAATTATTCATGTTTTCTATAGTAAATTAAACTCTCATGGCCCTATCATGTCCCTTTCGGTAATATGTCATTGTTTTAAATTATATACTCAATGGGGTAAATATTTTATTACGTTAAACATGTATTCTCGTCCACAAAATCAAAAACTTCTAGACTAGAATAAATAAACATGCTGTATATTCAACTAATTAAATTTTAGATTTACTTTTTTTAACAGACTAAAAAAACTGTATACAGTTAATGATAACATTCTGAAATCTATCTTAACCATTACGATGTATTCAATAATAAAACAATTTTTTTTCTTTATAAATGAGTTGATACTATGAGTACTAACCAGCATGCAACTGTGGATTGTTGTAATGAATTTCCAAAACAGCATACAAGTTAAAGTCCGGACCTCCAATTGGATAGCCAGCTTCCTGTACAAATAAGGAATAACACACTGTTTATCTTAAATGAGATTTATGTGTAAAGTTATATCTATAATTTGAAACATTAGTAATGAAACCTTTCAAAAGTTGCTTGAAGAAAAGTGTTTAATCCTTACTTTATTTTATTAACCATGAAAATCATTTTGGAAATGGATAGTTATGAAACAAGTTTTTATAACAATAGAAGCAACTAGCAGCAGCAGAGGTAGTAGAGGCTATCTCTGTGAACAAAATATGAGTCAAATATCTCTTGGAGACAGTAGTGTAGTGGAGCGGGCGTAGTGGGAACAAACTTTTGTATATTGAGAGGCATGCATGTTTTTATTAAGACAATGGTGAGCATTCATCCACTGGAAAATTCACAACTACACCACTGCTTGGAGGGAAAGTTGGCTTAACCATTGTTAAGTTAAAACAACAAGGATTGGTTTGTATTTTACTTCACAAAAATCAAACCCTGGATGAAGTGTCCAGAAACCCACGACTCTTAAAAGATGAGACGATACCTCAGGGTAGTAGAAGGGAGTGGCTCCCATCGCCCAAGCAGCTATAACTTTCTTGCACACTTGAGTCTCCGGAGGTCTGTCTGAGCCATCACAAGGACCTCTGTAGTCCGGCATCTCTACGTCAGCCTTTGCCTCGCAATGGAACAGCTCCATGTGATGCACTAGGTGCTCATTACCAGCTGTTATTACCGACTCAAACTGAAATACACCTCAAGTTGTGTTAAAAAATCTGTTAGGAGACATCACTGATTTTGGATACTGATATAGAACATACCAAGATGAGACCTGTGGATGCAATACTCCCTGGTGTTGGCTAACATCTGCACTAGTGAGTACTACGACTATCCGCAGTACAATTCTGATAATTACACCAATTCAATAACTACAAGACAAAAGTGTGGTTCGGATTCCACTATAAACTGTAGGTCCCTTGGTTGCCATTGCCTGTATTGGCTATTCATTCATGTCTAAGGAATATGTCAGCCTTAGTCACTAACAAGACTCCTACATCAAGATCTTATTTTAATCATATGCTTAGTGTATTGCAATTTGAAACATGGGATATGTACATTTTTGATGGGTAATTTATTACAAAAATAATATGTAGTCTAAAATATATAATTGGCACTGAGACTGTAAAGTAAAGTAAATTAGTTTGCTAGACCATAAGGTGGCTCTGCTAGGACACACATAATTGAACAGATTTGTTGGTTAGGAACTTGTACTCAAATAAATTGGCAATTACTTTACTTAGCAAAACTAATTCATCATAAATATTTCTAATGAGGAATAAAGGTTTTATTTTGTAAAACAGAATAAAACTTTTTCTTAAATTTGAAATATTAAGACTCTCAGCCCCAAATATCCCTGCATCCATCATCCATGGTGGAAGCAAGTAAAGTCTTCCATCATGGCCTTTTTCTCAGGCAGTCGGTAACCTGATGCATCACTCTTGTGCTCCTTTTGATTTAATTCCCTCCGATACCTGTGTCAAATACTATAGCCCCTATGGCCCCTAGGCTTCTTCAGTTTTTCCTACCATATTCTATCACCCAAACTCCCATCACTCTGGGTACCGAGGGTCACATACTTTTAATGCGGCCACTGGCAGTCTCAAGCCTGCAAAATGAGCTTAGCTCTTGAACGCAGAGGGAAAATATAACCATGCAGAATGATTAAGTTAAATACAAGCACAGTACAAGTATTTGGTTTGATAAATGCTGGTAGTTTTAATGGCATTTGATTTATGTCAAGGACAAAAAGTTTCTGAGACCTCCTTTCTTCGAGTATTTGTGCGTCTGCTGGGAGCCTAACCAAAGTGAAAGACCAAAATGTTGCATCAAGCATGATTCTTTTACCTCAGCCATAGCTTGGTATCCAACATCAGGACAATCACACACAGACCCTGGTGCTAAACCGGCGACATTTACCGTTATTACCGTCAGTATTCAGAAACGATACCTATTAACTATAAACTACCTATAAACTATACCTATTAAGGTTGCACCACAGGTAAAGCTCACAAATGTTTAACTTAATCAATTGTACTCGCATAGATAGTCGAGGAAGTTTGCTTGTGTTCTCAAGAAGATGGAAAAACCATCAATCTTTGGGACTCAAAAAATTATAGGATTTTAAAAATGAAGGTAAGACATATATAAAACAACATAAATATTTTGATCATACAGACATAAATTTGACTTTATTCCTATTTTCAGTCACCCTTGAAAAGATCACTTTGAGATAGAAACCTCACCTTTACAACATGGTGTTTGTTCCTCAGTTTGTCAGACAGTTTGACCACTCTGCACCAGTAAGTAGTGTCCGTGGAAGGTACTCGGTTGTTGTTCTCGGTAACCGTGACAGCCCAGGTGTCTCGAGGCAGAGGCACCTCTCCCGCCAGGTTCTTCAGCAGCTGAGTTCGCTGGAAGCCGTGCTTGGCGGAGGCGAGGTTGAGGCCCTCGACCCTGAATAGCGGACCTGCGCCGGCGGCCCACACGATGTGCGTGGTACCCTCCTGATCAGTGATTGTCAAATAATTTACTAAATAAATGTTAAAATCTATTTATAGTTGACGCTCAACAATACTTGCTTTGCCTTCTTGGGACCGGCACTGACACTCACCAAGAGATACTATATGGGACCCTCACCATCCTCCACTCTCCCTCTGATTTCCTCCCTCTGCAGAAGGTAATTTTCTGTGCGTTTAGCATAGGTTACAGTGGGAAAAACATCCACTAGCATTATATCCCCAAAATAAAAAATAAATTAGATTTTTTTCAACTTTCGAAAGTTGTAACATTCTTTGATTATGTCAAAAATACTAGTTACCTAACCAGCTAACCTAATCAATTCAGTTAGCAATGAAAAATAATTATATACAAAGTCTAATAACTATTTTCTGGTATTGTTATTGCTATTGAAAAATTGGGCCTTGCTACAACAGTTGCTGTAGCAGTAAAAAGTTATTGATTCTTCATTGCGAGAGGGCGTACGGTACTTAATTCTTTTATAACACGCCACACTTTGTAATAGCTGTGAATATTAATCTATGCTGTGAACAGTTTTTAAAAAGAGGATAGCATTTTAAATGTGAAATTATCTCTAAAACCCATGAATATCAAATTAAGTTTAAACAGAACAAGAAGCTAGTATTTAATTGAACTATATAAGGAAAAACATAAAGGCAATAATAAATAAAGAAACATTAACAGGTATTACTTAAACAAAAATAATAGTCTAATCCAGTTTTATCACCTCATATTTTATGCAGCAAGCTTTTCAATCATAGGCAGCCCAAAGGTGTGGTATTGGGGGTATTGGCAGGAGGCTTTTTTTCCAAAGTTTGCTGACAATTTAAAAGAATTGTTGATCGCAGAACTACGACTAGAGATGATAATGTAATTTTCATAACTAATAATGGTAAAAAACGTACCTTGTCAGACAATCATTAAGATATTGTACTGTGGTGTCGTGTTTTAAAACTTGCTACACATGTATCGGTGGTTCTTTAAATACACCATCGTCAGGATTACAACGGATTGTGTTGTTGTGTTAGAATTGTGTGTCAATGTACGTTTCTTACCATTATTAGTCATAAAACACAATCCTGGGGCTGTCAAAATTAATTATATCTCTCAAAAATATACGGCTATGGCAATACTTCCAACTGTAGAGCATATACCATCATGGACGTGGAGTAAAATAAATGTAAAAGCAACTTATGTATAGTTCAACTATATCTGGTCTGAACTAACCTCAATAATGTAGTCATGTCCGTCACAGGTGTCAAATTTTCGGTTAAAGACGAACTTGGTGATGTTACGGCTTTTGGAGTATCCAGCTTCCCCACAGTCTTGCTGCTGATCCCTATAGATGATCCCATGTTTATCTGTCCAAGTATCCTGTAAGGAATATCAATGGAGTAAAAATTAATTAACCAATTTGTAACACCTAACCCTTGAATATGGGAGTAAAAGTAGTTGATTCAAGAACAAAATGCTAGAAAAGTGTGTTCACATTTTTATTTGACTGATTCTTTGTGGATAGAAACTATTCGTTGTCATTAAATATTTTACAAAAACTGTTTAGTGCAGGTTACTGAAATGTGCATGAAGGATGTAGGATACACCAAAATACATTATGCAATTTTGTAAAACTTGTCCATGGTTACAATGAAAAATTAACTCATTGCCAAAAAATAAATGTATACAGCTCCTATGTTTCAAAATAAAGACAAGGAGGTAAGAAACTATTTGACTAACCATCCTTACACAACTAGACTAACTAACTACACACAAAATTATCCCGCCTTTATGACCTTAGGTCTATTACCAACATTTTACTCCAACTTAAAACGTGTTATTCTCACCAAAAACGCCATTAACTGACCTCTAGGTGGAGTTTGCCATGCCAGTCGACCCACAGCACACACAGGTCAGCGTCAGTGATCTCCCCGTAGTCAGAGAAGCCTAGGGCTATCCAGCTCGTGGCCGGGACGTGGGAGTGGACCTCTAGTGAAACTGTCCCAGCGTCGTAGTCCAACGTCCAATACAGAGTGTGGAGACCCTCTGAGTCCAGGGGGACGGAGAATGTTCCCGGGGGCAGTTTTCGTGTGAGACCTGGGGAAGAACAATACTTCTCTTATTTAGCTTTTTTTTTTATTTTGACGACATTGTAGTTTTTTTCAAAGGGCGCACGGAAGTGTTACTATCTCATTTGGTCCTTTTGTAAATGTCATTTTGTGGCCATAATGAATCTGCTGGGAGTAAAATGAATGCCAGCATAATTACCAGGTTCAACTCAATGTCACTTCAATGTGTAAATAAGTAAACTAGGCTTATGACGATTTTTATTGTATTTAAATGCCACTTTTACTTTTTTAATATGAAAATTTCGAGAAGAATAAAGTACGTTTATATTTTATTAGGGAATAAGTTAAATTTTTTTTGCTGAATAAAGCGTGATGTGGCTTAAAACCCCCACCCATTCCTTTTCAAAAATTGTAGTACCGGTACCGGTAACTTACAGTTTTCATGAACTTTTTATATATATAAAAAATTATTAATGTGCAAATTTCATGCATAAACAATTATCTTACACTCCAGAAGATAATCCTATTATGAGTATTTCTCTGTACTGCAGCAAAGAGTGGACAAATAACTATTTTACCACATGTATCTCTGTAACTAGTACATATTCAACGCTAGTACGCAAAGTCACCCGTCCTTTGCTAAAGATAAAAGAAGAATAGTACTGTAGTGCAGCATAGTTATTTGTGTAACTAGTGGGCGAAGTAGCACTTTTGCTGCACACGAGAGAAATGTTTACGCACTTGCGGTAGGCGAGTGTAGACATTTTCTCGAGTACAGCAAAGGCAGTTTTCACTCGCGTTACACATTATATTTTTCCTACAGTTAGCCTACTATACAGCACTATTAGCACATAAAAAATTTTCTTTCAAACACTGTACATCACGTTTTTAGGTTAGGTTAAATCCAAACATTGAATGAAATGGGAAACGCTGCACCAGCTGACCGTAGTCGTAAGATCATTTTCAAGCGTACACGTTTCAACGTGCCTAAAAGCACGATGTTTTAAGTTGTTTGATTGGAATACTGGTGCGGCAAAAGTAAGTAGATGCAGCAATTAGCCAAGCCATCCAAGCTTTACCTAGGTACTTCTGGAAAGCATCGATATATATGGGTGTTAAACCATTTCTCTTAGCTCTCTGTTCTTTTTTATTTCGACCTCCGGGCCGTTATCTTGAACTGGTCTGTATATTTCCTCTGCACTTTATTTTAAGGTTTTTCGGTTCTTTGGCCAGTGCCCAAGTTTCTGAATCATCAGTACTACGGGGATAGTAGGTATGGTATGAGTCGACTTTGGTTTCTGCTGCAGTTTATTTGACAGTTTTATAGAGACCTACTACACCGATTGACGCTTTCATTACCAACCAAAATTTTACTATGCCGACATACTCACATTCAAACATACAAAAAAAGAAGTATCAACACGTAAACCACTTATATCTTAAACAATTAAGCGATAAACTGCTGAAAAAATATTTCCCGAATATGAGTTGAAATTTGCAATGCATAAACTAAATACTTACACAGATTGCATTTACGACAAAACTTGATTAAACGCAAGTGTTTGAGATGTTTAGTTCAAAATATGTGTAACACATTTCCTGATAACGCAGATCCTTCACGGTAAGGGAAAACTACCTACATTTTAAAGTGAAATAGTATATAGGCAAACACCAACGAACAATATTTTTGTAAACAAACAACTCGTAACATAAACATTTCAATTACAGTTAGAAACCAGCTGTTAGTTAAACCACCACTAAAACAACTTAAACTCGTCCGTCGGCTGCTAGACTTTTTGAAAATCAAAACTTAAAAATTTCAAAAAAACTGAAACCCTAAACTAAAACTATGGCTTCAACATTCCCTAGTTCTCAAAATTATCTTTCTTTCAACACAAAAATCATAACAATCCGTAAAGTGGTTGATTCAGAATCGTGAAATAAAAAAACCCTGTCACGTTTTAATATATAGGATGACGATGATGATGAACTAAGTAAGCAAACCTTACTCATATTCTATTTTAGGAAATCATACACCATGCAACTTATGTGTGTTTACAGCATTGTAGGCCTACTAAAGACTTTCTTTTAATCGTTCCTAAAGATGCGTGCCGGGTTCGATAAATGTTGAACTATTATACTACTTTCAATCGGTCAAAACCGTTTAATATTGCACTCTTGTGTTCCGAAAAATAAATGAAGCGCATGCTTCAAACTCTGTAACATTTGTCTGAAAAAATATTGTGTCCTGGAGGATTTGAAATATGTAATACGCCTTCTTGCAGTATTGAATATTATTTTCTCTGTATAAAAGAAAAAACAATTTGTTCTTAAACGAAACATGGGATCAATGATAAGTAGTTTATTAACAGTTAACAATTTAGTAATATTATTAACTATTTATCATTACTCCCTTGAATATGACGTCTAAGGACAATTATTATATGTCGGTCTTAGTCACTAACAAGACTACAAGATCGCGCCACTCATCCTTCACTCATATTTGGGTTAAAATACGCACATAGTGGCGTCCCCATCTTAAATAGTTGATTAACTGATTGATTGCTATTTGAAGCTACTACAATGTACACGATATTGGCAAAAATATGGAGAATTAATTATTCCATATGCTGTAAACTAGTGTTTAGTGTTAGGAAAACTATTGAAAGAAATTCCTCCAGAGAATGTTGGAAGTTACTTAATTGTTATGAAGACGTACATATTTAAAATATTTAGAATATAATGTGTTCAAATAATTAAATTTAATATTTATTAAAAAAAAATATTTTGGGGGCTCTATATCACGATAGTTTAATACAAAATACAGTACCTCAAACGTATTTAAACTATGTCAACATAAACTACTACCATTCAAAGCTACTACTTAAGTTTTTAAAGCTTTACCAACTAGTTTTGTTGACATGTTTAATCTTACCAGAAGATAAGAGAGTCGACAGCAATACCACAAGAAGCATCGCGTCAGACTGAAGTCACAAGTAGGGGATGCAACCTGGGTCAGGGGGTGGGTCGCGCAACTCAAAGGGACAGGGGAGGGTAAAGTTTATAGGGCAAAAAGAGGAATTCGTTCACTTATAATAGTTATAAACATACCATTAAATCTCTTCCAAATCAGATAAGTTGTTAAAAATTCGCTAAAATTAAACATGAGCTTAAAACGTAAAGTAAAAAAACGCATTCCTATGAAAGTATAGTCAGTTGCAGTGAAAATCTTCGCTGTAGAAAAGGCATTTAAGCCTAAACCAGTTAAGCATTTACGAAAGAGTTAACTTATATTATAAAGCCTGTTTTGAATTAAAACTTAGCATTATACGTGAAAAGCCGGTAAATTATTTGCTCTAAAGCTCAATGAGTCGTTTAGCTTAACCTCTAGTGAATTCATGGTTATAACGTCTGTGCCCCTCGTGATAACCTCAAACTTAAACATGTCTAATTAAAATAAATACTATTTGAAATCCTCATGAGAGATTTTCTGACAAAAGTAAGTTGACTGTGTATAAGCTACTATATACAGGGTGTCCCGGAACTCTCTACCAATATTTTAGGGCATTGCTCCTGGGTAAGAAACATACCTAAATATCATATTTAAATTGTCCGGAAGTCCTTAGTTACTCACACAGCCGCCATTTTGTTTTTTCCAGTTATTAATTTTTTTCTAAAGAATGGTTAAACATACGAAATGGAAACTTTGTACAAACATTAATGACGACTAGACAAAGCTACAAACAAATTATGAAGATTTTTCAAATTCATAAAACAAAATTGCGACCATTTAAAATGTTGTTTCTTAAATAGCTCAAAAACAGTTGATTTTATAAAAACTTTAAATGGCCGCCATTTTGTTTTATGAATTTGAAAAATCTTCATAATTTTTTTGTAGCTTTGTCTAGTCGTCATTAATGTTTGTGCAAAGTTTTCATTTCGTATGTTTAACCATTCTTTAGAAAAAAATTAATAACTGAAAAAAACAAAATGGCGGCTGTGTGAGTAACTAAGGACTTCCGGACAATTTAAATATGATATTTAGGTATGTTTCTTACCCAGGAGCAATGCCCTAAAATATTGGTAGAGAGTTCCGGGACACCCTGTATAGATAAATATATACGCTAACACGATAAATATATACGATAAATGGATGCACAACAGGGATTTGAAAATCAATATGGTATTAAACCGATTGATTGCATTACGCTAACAGCTATTTTAATGACTCCCCAAGTAACACAACTAATTCTATACATAAAGAACAATAATTTCAAAGTTAATATAGGTTCAAGTTGAATAATTATTGTTAAACTATTCCTAATAATGAAATGTATAATTAAATTTACAAGTTCAACAAGGCCACTACATAATAAGTTTATTTCTTTATTATTATTTTATTACTACAGTCATAGTTGCTAGCTACGTAAACGAATAAAAAATTTTCATTTCACAACATACTTCATCTATTGTATGATCATTACCTATTTATTCATTATCTATATAAATAAAATTAGAGTTTTGTCTGTACATTGCTCAGAATTATATACTTTTAGGTTATTTTTACGTTTTATACATTAAAGAAGCAGAAACGAGTCTTATCTCAATTTCTGTCTGTCTGTCTGTCTGTCCCTTTGTCTGTAACACTCAAGATGGCATTTTACGCAATCTTCTCCGTGAAAACCAGAGTACATATCAAGATCCAAGTCATTTTAATGTATTCACTGGATTGGCGAGAGTGTCTTTAGTGATTTAAATATAGCCTCACTACTTTGTAAATAAAATTACGGACGTTCAAAATTGCAGTTTTGTGCGATTTTTGTCAAATTTTCGTTCAATTTTTATCACATAATCGTCTATGAAATAACGAACAGCTGTTCGGATCAAGATTATATTTTCTAGCTGTCAATGACATGTTTACAAATGTTGTTTACAAATACCGCAACTATTTCGAATCACGTTTTGAAAGCAAATCCCAACCAAGTGAGATTAAAAACGTTTTTCTTACAGAACGGATTTAATTAATCGCAAGTGCAATAATATAGTCTAATAGTGTAACCGTAAATGAAATTAAATAACTAGACGTCGTCCAAATCGGAACCAGAAATTCTTTGAGTATAAAATGTTTCTTGAGTTTTGACAACCAGAAAGAAGAAGACCTTGAATCAGTGTTGTATAGGGCTGTGACACTGAAATGATCGTCGCCAATAGCTTACAAAAAAGGTTTCCACTCATTGACGGCGCTTCAATGGCGATTGTGTAAAGTGTAAAGTAAAAAATCACAACTGCAGTGGGTGATTGTAACAGAGGTTTAACAGAGGAAGTGCTAAACTCGCTTTTCCAATGTGTCACTTTCTGTTTCTACTCACCGTGTGATGCAATCGCTGGACCATACAGCCAATAGGCCCATAGCTCATATCTTGGGTACGTAAGCCTACATATTTATTCATAACAACCTTTTTGACGACGATCCTTGATACCGGTACTTTTCCATAGAATACATGGCCTACCTACTTAAAAAATAAAATTACAAATGACCAAACCCCCAACATTGTGTGATTTTCGTCACATTTCCTTCTAATGTTAATAGATATACTAATCATTGTTTAGAGAATGCGTAATCTATTAAATAACAAAAAGTTGTTTGGGTAAGGTTGCTTCTTTTTCAAACTGACACCGATAAGTTTACGCTATAACTTTTTACGAGAAAATCCAAAAGCAAGAGATCAATAACCTCGGGACTAGATATTAATGTATTTAATTGGTCCGATTTACTGTAATTCTTAGGTAGGTTCTTACGTAGGTACTGGTTCTTTTCCTTAGAACCGGTAGTTTACAAATTAGATATCGTTGGTGTTGCACCTTATTTATTAGAGCCGTCCGTATTCAATTTAAGTGATGTCTTAACTCTGTATAAGTTTTGCTTTTTCTGCCTGGATTCCAAATCTTAGCTTACCCGGTATGCTAAGAAAATGATAACCTATTTGAGTAAAACATTTGTTGGGCAAACCATCATGAATTGTTTACGCCTTTATATTGTTTATGTATCAATAGTTCGTGGCCTTTGTTGGATTGTTGTATTGTGTTGTTTTGTTGTATGTTGGTAACGCATTAATGTCCTTATTTCTCAGTGTTTCACGGAATGGACAAGAGCACCTTTGATACTGAAAATGTCAACCGGAATAAAGTGTTAAATGGTGAGGTTGAGGTAGTACTTTAAATACGTTTAAGTTAACCGATGTGGAAAGTAACTTTCAATTATAGGCCTACTTTAGGGCTACGCTTCATGGATCTATAAAACATTTTTAAGTTTAATCATTGGACATATGTAGGCCTACCAACACGATCCGGGTGACATTTAATTGCGAAGCATTTATTTTGGCTTGAACTGTCAGATACTGTATTTGCGAAGGTTTATATATAATAGTTTTGCCAGCATATCTGCAAATATGCAAACTAATTGCTGTTCTTAATCTTAATATAAGAAGGTTTCAACTGACTACTATAAGATCCCCGTGCGTAGAACGGGCACACAGCTAGTGAATATATAAGATAATACTTTGAGTCACATCTAAAAAAATAGGGAAATTTTAATAAATATTGGGCAATATATTTGATTGTTTAAGAGTGGCATAAAATGGCATCTCATGAAGCCGTAATCGGTTTCCCCTGTGAAAATTTAGTCAGTAATTCTCAAGAGTACTTAAAAACGTACTTAAAACAATTTGATGAGATTTCTCATCACCAATAAACTGCGTATACCGCTTTGAAACTTTCTTTGAAAATATTATTTTTAATTTAAAAAATATATAGTATGTATATTGCAGTATTCTCTATTTAAGTTGATTAAAGGTATCACCCAGTAAAGAAATTAATATGGGTTCTATGGTTTTCCTACTCAATAATGAAATCTATCTTTTTTTGTCATCCTGAAAACATGAAACACTGAAACTAGCACAAAAAGTAATTGTTTCTTCCAATTAAAATTCATTAACAATGTGTGTATATTGTAACTGTGAAAACACGTTTTAAATTATGATATCACGGTTCATTTGTAGTCCAATCGGACGTAAAAATAAAGTTATGGCTCTTAGCCAACATTGAGCGGCAGATAGACATAGACTCAAGACTCTCCGCCCGTAATAAAGACCTGGAATGCGATGATGAAATTCCTCAAACGCCGACCATCTCCTGATCAACTGCGTCAATGACGTCACCGCCCGCAAATATCATCTGATCTCATCGTCATTTGTTATTTGCTATTTAGAATATGATTATTGAAAAATCTACAACAATATGCTAAAATGTTCTTTGCTCTTTTTATCTTGACCAAATTCTAGTATAAATAACAAGAATTCAGTAGACGTAAGAGTTCAGAGTCCAGTAGTTCAGAGTTCTAGTTCGTTCAGGTATTAGTACTGGGGGACCGAGCCTTGCTTGGTTGTAGTTAATTATTGTGTGTAATAGTTAAAGTAAAACAATATTGTAAACAAACATTTTATAATTTACGAGAAATATTTTTATGACAAACCATGGACATACGAGTACATTTGATTGCTGAAATAAAAACAACTCTGTAATGTAAAAGCATGCAATTAAACAAAAAGAAGATACATTTTTATGATCTTGCTTACTACTCGCACAGAATTGTTCTCCCTTCTAGTCATTGAAACCTCGACTTTTACTCTCACTAAAGACAGCAGATAAAAATATGATACAAACAAATCATATTAGTTTCAAAATGGCTTGTGACAACAATATTTCGCCTTTTCGATACTACTTCTAAATAAATTGAGATTCTGTATGTTTTTATTTCATTGGGATTTAGCATACGGTAATAGTTTTACGTCAATTAAGATGTAATTAGTTTACTTGGAATGCCTCAGTCTCAGTACTTCAGCGATTATGGTTTGGTGGGAGAGAGCCACGATTACTAGAAAAATACTATATTACATTAATATATTACATAATATTAAAAATACCTATTACAATATATAATACAAGTTCAATGATAACCTTTCTAGAAATATTAATATATAATAGGTTTTTTCTAGTATTCGTGGAGAGGGCTAAGTAAAATAATCAGTATTTGATCGGAACTATTTTCCTTATATCGAGTAAAGTAATCTTCAGTGTAATCTTAACATTTTCTCAATAGTTACCACTGATGTTCTCCTTTTTTACTTTATTTTTTAATTTGCTGGTATACTGTGGATGGCTTGTTATAAACACATATGAGTAGTGACTATTCTTTTGTTTAATTTTTCATTGTTATTTTGTTCACCAACATAGTTACTTAGCACACCCCTAAGGTCAATGTTAATTTTTTTAAATTTTCAAATTAGTTATGTAGCGAAATACGAATTTTCCTGAGGTAGTGTCCCCAATCACGTTTTAGGGCTATAAGTACCTAATTTCTAATTTTTTTTCAAAACCCTTCCGTTGGATTTCGAGATTTAAATTGCAGAGACAGACAGACAGACAAATAGCTCGTAGTAGAGAATCTGGTTTTAACTAACGAGTCTATTTGTACCTATAAAATTGAATGCTTTTCATCTTTTATTATTTACAAGTCATACTTGATATGAATCTGACACATAGTGCAAAAATTGGTTCTATCTATCACTACTTATATACTAGGTGTAAAGTAAATTGCTTTCGAGGTAAGTAACTAATACACAAAATCTTTCCAGTAGTTTGTATACACCCTGTATATACGAGATACAGTATTTGTATAAACTAATAGCAAAACTCCTAATAAATTGGTTGCTTTTACTGTACACCTAGACCAAGGTACGAAACCATTGAACTCAATCGTTTTAGGGACTATTATATGCCAAAAGGATCGTTCGTTAAAACAAGTAATGTGTGCGACATCTCTCGTGAAAGTTCTTCAATTCTATGAGGTGAAAATGCGGATAAATCTTATAAACAAGCATTTAGGCATATTGAAATCAGTTTGCTAATCTTAGAATAGGGACCCTGGTGGATTTCATGTAGTCTATGCCCTGCGCGAGTTTAGTGTGAATTTGCTTTCATAAAAACATAGATGTCTATGATAAAAAGCACGTTTGAATAAAATAAAACATCTGGGTGAATGGGGTATTTTAAACTATTTGAGAAATAAGCGATTCACTTTTATTTTAAACACGCGATGCTGTAATTTTACTAGGTCCTTTAGAAGATTAAATTGTTTTATCCTTAACTCTAAAAAATACGGTTGTTTCGTTCTTCATTTTATAATATGTTAACTAATCGTTATGTTATTTGATAAGTTCTGGATGGACCTCATCTCTATGAGATTACACTGATAACCACTTAGCTCATAGTCTGTACTGGTTTACCAATAATCATCTACAACAAAGGTCTTATGCCAAAACAACCGCAGCGCAAACAGCTTGTGGTTAACTACTGATCGCCATTTAGCTCATAGGAAAATCAAAGCACTTCCTTGTAAATATGTTACATTTAATTTTAAATTTGAATACTTATACAAAATTTTATAGCGAATTTCCCTTATATGGAATACACTATTACCGTAGGTCTCATTGTAAGACCTGGACCCGGATAGATTTACATTAATTTTCGATTTGAGGTGCCGCCGAGATTCCAAAACACCATTCGGTTAAATTTAAGGATGTTTGGTTGCGATACGGTGTGATTAACGTCCTCACTATTGAGTATTATGAATATCCGCAGTACTATCCTTAATAATTAGACCAATTAATTTGTAATTAGAGTAAATAGTATGCTTCAATAACGAAGCAGGTTGATGTGGATCTGTAGACATATGTGTGTCCTATGTGGTTTAGACGATAACTTTTGGTTGTTTATAGAAACTCCGACACTCCTAGGAGGAAGACACAAGTATTAGTTTTGTAGTTTCGACTGGCTTCGGCGACCAAATTATCAAAGGACAGAATGACAGACAGTAATCAGCAAGTGTTGCGGAGAAGAAGAAGAAGTGTTTGCCAAGCTTAATACTACACTGGGCATTCACATAAACGTGTAGAGCATTTCTGTTTTAGATAGGCCCTAATATCAATTACTAGTCAAAGATAATATTTAAAACAGAAATTCTTTTGTTATACAGTGCTAAATTTATGTTTGTTCTTGAAAATGAAATAACCATTAACATTAGTTGTTCTGAAGCACTTAAAGATATGAAATGTTCCTAAAAATAGAGATGAGAAATGGTCAAACTATATTTGAAATAAAAACGCGTTGGTTTGTGCATTGAATTGTATATTCGGGAAGTGTATTTAAGTCAAAATTACTCAAGCTAACTGATATGTAAAGAAACTAACAAATACTTCTTGTTATTTTCAGGGAGTTCTTAAAGAGTGTAGTTTAAAGAGTTCTGTTCTGCCCTGCTAATAAAGAAGGCAGTAAGTGCAAAATTTTCGATTTTCAGATTTTGATGTAATTTAGGGTTTTTCGGGTCAGGGATTCTGAATAACGCACTTAAAAAGCCGTATCTACAACCGTTTCTGAGATATGGCAGGTGTATATTGCAGTATATACATCATTTTTCAACCAAAACTAAGCTAAAAGGCAGTAACTATAAAAGCTAAGCAAGAAAGACAGTATCTGCGATGTAGATACTGCCTTTATGCTTAGTGATGTACATCACGTACTGCCTTTTTGCTTAGCATTATGGGTATAAATGAGGAACTAAAAGCAGTTTTTACCAGCTGAGATTATGTTGTTGTGTTTGTGTTTACACTGTTGTTTGTAAATATGAAAATGGCTAGTAGTAGTTAGATACTGATTTTTAGCTTAGGGTCCTCCTATTAGCACTAGCTAAGCAAAATGGCAGTATGAGCAGATGCTGCCTTTTGGCCTAGCATGAACACAAATATTTCTAAGGACAAAAGCAGTATGTGCATTTTTATATTGACCCAGAGGAAAAAATGTATTTTTTATAGTGTCAATTGAATATTTAGGCCTAAGTATTACCTAAGATAACAAAAAATATTAGTTTAGTATTCACATGTGTCAGGGCAATGGCGGCAAAGTTGAGGTCATTTTCTGAAAATATTCACTTTTGCACATACTACCTTCTTTCTTAGCAGGGCAGTGTTATTGACTAAGAAAGTAAGTAAGTAAGTAAACTTCTCATTCTAGTATAATCTGAATTTTATGTGTATTTCGTCTCCGGTGGCGATATTTTCACTCGAGAACGTTGAGGCCAAATAAACCTTTCTCTATATTTTTAGGACGTTTAATTAATTTAGGACAATAATTAACCAGCAAAGACTAATTATTTTCTTTAACAGTACAAAACTCATAGCATTTTTCAGTCTATAACTTCAATATTAAACCAAAATTCAAAACCAAAAGATTTACTTTTTTACAGTTTTGGTTGTTGAAAATTAAAACAGTTGATAAAACTATAACAAATCGTTGTTTGCTTACGTCGGAAAAGTCCAAAAAAGATAGTAACTATTACTTTCGTATAGTAAACAATCTTTTTCAGAAGTAAACAATGATGAATTTTCGCGTGTAAACAGGTAAAAAACATGTAACGAAAACAGGTCATTTCACATTAGTAGCAAAAAAATATTACACCATTCCAGTACTTTTCAATAACACTATTTATAGTGTTGGTGTTTTTGTTACCTATTGTGTACGTGTGTGATTGTTAATGTACTCTGTTGTTATCAACTACCTGATGAAATTGTTGGCGAGATGATGCCAAAAGCGTCACTTCTGTAACGTCAGAAAATAGCTCCTGAACGTAATGTGTAATGTGACGTTTGAATACAAATTACACACTCAATTTCAGATACATGTTTTCATCCCGTTTAATTTATTCATGTATATTTTATAACTGAATTTGTTACATCAAGTTTATCTTTAGTGAATGTTGTCTTTATTTGTGATCAATCTAGCTTCTATTGATAACGTGTCCATTGTAGTCCAGTAGTAGGCGGAACTATCTAGTGAGTGTTGGCTCAATCGTCAAGTTTTGAAACGAGATCCGGCACCAAGTGGACCAAAACAAAACAAGAGTTGCGCGCGCGCACCAACGCGCTCTCAGAACGCTATACGGCTACAGCCCAGTGGGTGGAAGACATGCGGGTATACGTCTATAGTATATACGTATATAGTACACGCGTAAGGGAAATTATAGGTTTTAATTATTTTGATATATTTTACTATAGTTATTATTGACAAAATTGGTCAAGCGTGAATATATAGTTTTTGAAGCTAGATTACTAAGTTTTGCAGTTCATACCTACTATACATTTTATACGTCTCATAGGTAACGATTAAAAGTTCGAATAGGCCTAAATGTATGCAATGGCTGAATTATAATAAAGTTGTAATTTTATGCATTGACTAGGCAATTTCGTTTACAAGTTGTTTCTTTCTAATCATAAACCTACACAAGTTTAAGTAATATTACCAAGTTCATTCGTTCGGTACTATTTCTTACTTTTAAAACAGTCGATAAGAGAATCGAGACAGTGGACGTAGATGAGTGTTAACAATGCGAAGACAGTGTGTTCTATTGCTGACTTTTCTTACCACCTGTTGTGCGGCTAAGGAGGAATGGAGAATTGGTAAGAATCAATTGTTATTGTTTATTTAAATCAACAACTGTGTTTGCTTTATTATTTTGTTCACCTAACTATCTTTACTTGTATACTAAAACAAGAATAATCATTAATATAAAAATACCATTAATTTAGTTATTTTAATAATTTACAAGGAAAAACTATATATAATAAAGTAATAAAGATTGTATTTTCATTTTTTTATTTATCATACTTTGAGCGATTTTTGTCCCTTATAAATAGCTATTTATAATGAACATATTGTAACGGGTCATTTGATCTCTTTCGCTTCAAAAATGAATAGTTCCCAGCTGTATGGTAACATATAATAACTTTTTATTTGATCAGTGTATAACCAGACTAAAAAGTGTTGTTCATGTGTTGGACCTGAGCTACAGATTTAAATTATTGATCAACTAGCTGTAACCCGCGGGCTTTGCCCCGTTTAACTTCTTAATTTTCAAGATTATCTCGTTCGCATGGCTCAATCACGTCCTGGTTGAAGTTTGTTCACTACGCTCACTCACCTTTAGGTTGGAGCTCGTTCGCTACGCTCACTCACCTTTAGGTTGGAGCTCGTTCGCTGCGCTCGCTTGCCTTCAGGTTCGCTCGTTCGCTACGCTAACTCGCCTCCAGGTTGAAGTTCGTTCGCTACGCTCACTCACCTTTTGGTTGCAAATTAGCTGTTGTCATAAATGTAAAAGAAATAATAGTGCTGCACCCTGTTGGTAATCCTTGTAACTTTAATGCTATTGAACATCATGATAGAACAGAACCAACTTGTTTAATTGAAACAGCTGTTAAGATTCAATAATTCCATTTCTCATAAGGTTAACATGGGAAGCTCCAGAGCCACTGGGGCGGAGCCCGAAAGGATTTTTTAAATAAGAATATGCCTATATGTTAATCGGGAATGTGAGCTATCATCATGCAAAATTTCAGCCCAATCCGACCAGCATTTTTCGCGTTCACTTGTCACAAACATACATCCATACATCCATCCATACATCCAAACTTTCTCATTTATAATATTAGTAGGATTATCAAATCTTTGGCAAGACTTGATGAACAAGGTGATTGCTTCCTCCCAATTTTTTGTTAAATATTTTACCTATTGTTCTTATATTCTTATCAACAGATTGTAAAATAAATTCTGATACAAAAAAGATTACTGGAAAATAAGGTATTTTTAATGGTTTAGGCCTACTCGTGAGTTTTTAGATTGTCTACAAATCTTCCTACTGACATCTTATGACATCACTCTAATTAAAACCCCCTTAGACTGTTGTAGTGTAATTGTTTTAGACTCTTAGAATTAAATAAAAAAACTCAAATTTGGATTATCTGTAAAGTATTTTATATTGCAGTTTGAAAAACACGATAATTCACAGTGTCATTGCATCTTCTAACAGCTTATTTATTTATGACGATGCTTAAATTCTCTAGTTTTGTGAACCACCTGCGTCAAGTGACACATTTATATACTACTGTCTCTTTTAAAATCCATTAATTTAAAAAACTATAATATCAATGAGGTTACTTAATTTAAATCAAACTTAATATTTTCACCTACTACCGTTTTTTTAAAGTAGCCGTTTCAGTTCATTTCTTAGAATTATTGTTCACATAACATCATAGTTTTACTCATAACAACACAGATTGAGATAGAGAAGAAGTAAAATTGTAATGATTTAAACTTCAACTAATCAGCTATTTTGGCCAATTTAATTGTTGAGTGGTGCAATTAGTTTTTGGTACAATGTTTGTTGCATCACTGTCAGTGGCAATGAGAGGCTATAAACGAAAATATAACCTCTCTTGGACGTTATGAGTAGTGATTTTTAGTAATTAAAACACTGTCGTATGTAAAGTAGTGTACGCAACTCGCGTAAATAGTGTTAAAAACACTCGTAGAAAGTTTTAAGTCACTCGCCAAGGCTCGTACCTTAAATTTTCTGCTCGTGTCTTTAACACTAGTTTTATGAAATAGTTGCGTAAACTACTTTGGTTATAATCTAAGCATATTTTTCTTAAATTTATAAAATAATAATATTTAATTTAAGCAAGTTTTATTCAACAAACTCGATCGTATTATCCAACTCAAACTTCAAAAATTCTAAAATACTTTAAAACTCGCTTCATAGGAACAATTTTACAAAGTAACTGAGTGAACAAAAGACAGCAAAAGAAAGTTTTAGCCCAAGTTTATTATAAGCTCGTGACACTTTGAGTTTGGAGAATCCAAATGGCCCAAGGAGATCTGCCAAGAGAAGCCATAAAACAACACTCTTCCCCTAAATATAAACCGCTGTATACCTTGTTTACACCCCGAGAGTGATGTTAGTGATTGCTAAGTATAAATTACTCCAGACCATAAGACTTCCAACATGCAACTGCCATAAAAAGATTCTTGGGGAAAAAGAAAAGCCACATATTGGGAAAAATATTCTTCGCAACTGCTTTAATTACACAAAAATTAAAATTGCTAATTTGTTCTGTTGAATACACACCTTGTGGCCTTGTGAAACATGACTTACCTTGAAGGGATCCCTCCCCCAAAACCAGCTCAATGATTTACAAAAAAAGTCAGAATATTTTTCTAAAACGTTTTGCCCAAAAATTGGTACTCAGAAAGCGTGCTCAAAGGTAACATAAAAATCCTAATTAAGTCTACTATTATCCAAAGCCAATTAATGAATAAAACATTTTGGCAAGGTTTAAAATATAGGAGTTTTGTTTACAAAGGTAGAATAACACACCCCCACTGCAAACTACAAAATTATTGTTCATTTTGAAGGTGGGCTGTTCGAAGAAGACGCAAGCTTCTCGCAGCAAGCCTTCATTTATGCGACAGACTGGGCCAATGAGAGGGAAGACTTGCCACAGTTCGCCCTAGCAGCCGACATCACACAGGTGGATTACTTTGACAGCTATCAAATATCTCTAAAAGGTATTATAAAAAATATCAGTTACTCTTTGACCTCTTGCTATTTTGATTGAAATAAACTAATAAACTGTGTTTTCTACCGACATTGCATTGAGATAATTTTTAGAAAGGAAATATTATTTATTTTTATCGGGTAAAGTTATTGCCATAATATGGCCTTTCTTACAAATTGTGTAGCTTCATCATTGACTTTGACTTTAGATATAAATCAATTTGGACTTCTTCTTTTCAAGGACTACAACTATGTTTTCCGAAAATGAAACTATCTAAAAAATGAAGTGTTAGGTTAGAATCAAGCTTAAAACTTCAATAATCGTGTAGTGTCACCTAAAAAGTACCTACATAAATATAAACTGGCAGTCGAATAACGGTAAAGGTACAAAGGTATAATCGTTAAAATAAAAATATTTTCGTCATCCAAAATACAAACAGTAACAGACGTAGTTACATCATTTGTTTATGTTTATGATCCATACCGGGAACGTTTATATTCGTGGTTTTGTTTTAATAAACTATCTCTGTTTTGATAGTCGTGATTTTAAGTATTCGGCACAATGAAGACAGAGCGTTGCTCGGCGTCGGTCGCCTGTTTACTCCATCGAGCACTTAAGACCTAGTGCTCGCTGGTTTACTCAGGCTAAACGGGCTAAACTACTATTACGCGCAAACTCGCAGTTATAAGGATAGCATCTTACTAAAAAGCTGCTTATTTGCATTAGCAGAATTGAAAACCAGCTGGAAGCTGGAAGTCATTTTGAGAGGTTATCCTTACATAACAATTATTTTGTTTTCTAGCTTTGTTTGTTCATCAAGCAATATGACGAAAAATATAGATCACCACACGGGTAAAAAGGGACATTTTAATCCTCGCTCATTTACCGACTTCTGCTTCGTCTCGATTGTAAAACTTGACCTTGAATTAAAAAGAGTCACTTTAGGCCCTAGTGATGAAATTACTATTTGTTGTCAGTTGTACTGGATGAAACAAATTTTTAGCCCATAAAGAACTTATTTACAATTGAAGGAAATCTTCAAAGCAGTTATTGAGATCTTTGTGCAAGCAAGCATACACAGCAAAAATTGCTCATAATATATGAGGATAAGATGGAAGTAAATGACGAAGTTGTTCACTACAAAGAAAGTCTCAAAAAGAAAATGACTACGGTACGTCCATATTTTCTAATGTCAAAAAAACCAAAACTATTACTAGTGACATTGTTACAGCCTTCAGCCTACAACACTTCTGGTTGGGAGGACAGCATATGTAGCAACCATGGATAGGATATGTTTCATTTGACTGAACATGAAGAGTCCATTTTTACCCCAGGGCAAAGGAAACTAAGACCCTTGACAAGATCTCTTAAAATGCAGTTTAAGAATAAGATTAATGTTGTGCTTTTGACCATGATAAAGGAAGTTTTCCAGAAAAAATTCCAAGTTATATTGAACATTTCTTTTCAGTATGTAATATGCTGGGAGGAGGTGTCGCTGGAGTGTTTGGACCTCGGTCAGTAGACACCAGTGACCATGTCCAGTCCATCTGTGATGCCATGGAGATACCTCATGTGGAGATGAGATGGGACTCTAGACAACGTAGAGGCTCCTGTCTGGTCAATCTGTTCCCTCACCCTTCTACAATGTCCAAGGTGAGTAGACTTGTGAGGTAGACACCAGTGACCATGTACAATGTCCAGTCCTTCTGTGATGCCATGGAGATAACTCATGTGGAGATGAGATGGGACTCTAGACAACAAAGAGGCTCCTGTCTGGTCAATCTGTTCCCTCACCCTTCTACATTGTCTAAGGTGAGTAGACTTTTGAGGTAGACACCTGTGACCATGTACAGCCCATCTGTGATGCCATGGAGATACCTCATGTGGAGATGAGATGGGTCTAGACAACGTAGAGGCTCCTGTCTGGTCAATCTGTTTCCTCACGCTTCTACATTGTCTAAGGTGAGTAGACTTGTGAGGTAGACACCAGTGACCATGTACAGTCCATCTGTGATGCCATGGTGATACCTCATGGTGGAGATGAGATGGGACTCTAGACAACAAAGAGGCTCCTCTCTGGCCAATCTGTTCCCTCACTCTTCTACAATGTTCATTGTTCAAGGTGAAAAGCTACAAAATTCCTTGACATTGAAATAAAAGTGCATAAATCTTATTTGATTCTTTTATGAATGTTTTAAGGTGTTTGTCGACCTAGTGAGCATCTATGAGTGGGAGAGTTTCACGATTGTGTATGAGGACAATGATGGACTTATCAGACTGAATGGCCTCCTTACCTACTATGATCATAAGGGATATCCCGTCACTGTCCGCCAACTGGACGAGGGAGGAAATTACAGGTGAGTTTTACGCCAAAACATAAGTATTTTTGAGTTATTTATTTAGTTCTAACATCAACACAGATGCGAGGTGGGTAAGACGAAGCAATTAGAATTCCTTATGTTAGTAATTGAAAAAAATAAATAATATAACAGAACTAATGCCATTATAAGATAATATAACCAATGTGTAAATCATAAAATAATATAATATGAAAGGGTAGACTCAAATCAACGATATAGAAAAATATGTCAAAGAATAAAATCATCTTAAGGGATAGGCATATGCAGTGGCGTAGCCAAGGGGAGGGGTTTGGGGGTTACAACCCACCCCCTGGGTGTCCCTACATATATATATATTACTGTTGAAGTAAATATGTTTTCGTAGTATACTTTTATGCTAACCAGTAAATAAAGAAAGTCCCAAACAATTTACCTAGTCTTAGAAATATATTAAGTGTTTTACAAAATTTTTCATGTCACGGCAAAAGGCGTTCACTACGACTATATTCACCAAAAGCTATGATGAAACGGGGCGGGCATTGATTCTATCACATGTAGCCATGTAGTCAGAGCTGGAACAGTACAATAATAGTGGTTCCACTTCCACCAGTTCTACTCGCTCCCCGTTCCCACTGTGGATTCGCTAGTCGTCATTTTGCGCGGGGGATTAGTCTGGTTTTAAGTGTCACTGTCAGTTGTCAGTGTCGCAGTGTTTCCATTCGCGGGATTATTATCCCGAAAACGGGATTTTTAGACCTTGAGCGGGATTAAAACGGGATGCGGGATAAAACGGGATTTTCGGCTGTGACGACTATTTTTATTTTTTTCTACTTAATTTTAGAGAAAAACTAACTCAAATTGATTAAAAACTGTAGCCAAATATAATAGTGATGTTTAAACAACTTTATAAACATGATACGTTAAGTATAATACTAGGTATTGTATAAAAAAATCATGCGGGATATAACGGGATGTTTTACAATTTAAAAGCGGGATAAAACGGGATTTCTCGACCCAGTAAGCGGGATTATTTTGTTGGTCGTGTGGAAACACTGAGTGTCAGTACTCAACTCAGTAGTCACATAGACACTAGACATATCACCGATGCCCTTACTGCATTAGTGCGTGCGTTGTAAAACAATTGACCGTGATTTGAGGTTGTGAAATTTTAGATAAATTACGTATCGATTATTGGGTGTTGAAATATTACGTTATCTCATCATTATCCTTGTGATTAATTACATATACATATCTGAAGTTGAATTAAAAGATAGTCCTGAAGAATGAGTGATGATAATTGTAATCGGCCTGGAAAGAAACTGAAGTTAGGCCAAAGTTAGCAAAATGAAAAGCAGGCAAAACTATTAAGAAACTATTATAGTTACATTTTTAATATTCTTCTGTAAAACGGTAACAAATTTAAATTCATGTTTAAACACCTTAATCAAATAGGTTAAATACCTATAATAAAAACTCAATTAAAAATCAATTTATGTTTTAAAAATTAATTTGTCTAGATTGCATAAAAACGCTAGTTTACAGCTATTATTTTTCAAATTTTTCCCGGACCCCCCTCTCGACTCGGGGGGTATTCCATACCCCCAGACCCCCGACATGGTCACGTTGAATAACCTCCCCCCTTAACGTAATCCTGGCTACGCTAATGGGCATATGTTATTCGGAAACAAAACTAGCATCAACTATTAGCCAAGCATTTTATGTGCAAGAATGGCCAAAATTAAATTTGTGGATGCTTGTAACTATTACCATTGACTGCATACTAAACCATTGCTATTACAGTACTATAATTACCAACTAAGTTGGGAACACTATTGTGCATATTTTAAGCTAAGACACAAGAATGAAAATCGTGTCAGATATGTCTTGCTTAGTCTTTTTAATTACTATAACATTATAGTTTGTTTCTTTAGCTAGGGCAATTTTTTTTAACTTCAATGGCCAAGAGCTGCTGGGTCCAGTCTCAAATTTTAATTTTACCCTCCAAAATTCCAACTGTAAATTTAAGGATTTTTTTGCTAATTAAGTGTCTTAAAACATGTTAAAGTCTAAAGGGGGATAGAATTTTGATTCACGGATTTTAATTAAATTTCAGGCCAACTTTTCGGAGGATAAAGAATGCTAATCAGAAGAACATTGTGTTGGATTGCTCAGCAGATATACTCTTTGATGTATTATTACATGCACAACAAGTCGGCTTGATGGGTGCGGACTACAGTTACATTATAACATCTCTGGTCAGTACAACAAAATCCTTTAAAATCATCCACATAATAACACTGTTGTTAAAAATCTGCGGAAAGAGAGAAACTCACTCAGTTGAATCCAACAGTAGGCTAGTATTTTGTATAGAATTACTAAATTAATTAGCTCTGAATCTGAAGATAGAATAAGTGAATAAGGGTTAACCTTAAAATATGAAGTGAGACACACTGGCAGTTATTGGGTTCTACTTTTTTTATTTAAACTCAAAACTTCTTGTTCTTATTGTTGTTTATCTGGTAATGATCTACATCAAGAACTCACCAACACACTTTTATGACAACTGAACCAAAATTTGTTAGTTTATTTTTGTATGTTCGCACACTAGCAAAAGTAATTGTAGATTTTAAGTACCTATAAAGAATAAGTGGCAAACAACTTAAATGGTACAAAAAGAATAAATGAATAAAAAATTAATAAATAAAATAAAATAAATAAAATATAGATTATTATGGAAAAATTTGTACAAAGTGCTTATTTTTTAATTATTATAATTTTTTTGTCTTAAGAACCTAGGCACGAGCCCAGGATTGTTTTTCATATTACTTCAGGCTAGAGTTCAGGTTGCGACATTATCAGTTGGATAAAATTTATTGGTGATTTGGTGGGATTTACACCCGGGACCTCAGGGACCGAAGTCCAGGGCTCTAGCCACTAGACCAGCTTGCTCCCCCACTACTGTTACCTGACAATTATGCTAATATTGGTATATACTCTCGAGATATTAATCTTAATATGGTAAACTATTAACGGCACCAAGAATTTCAGAAAATATTTGTGTTACAGGATTTTCAAACTATTAACTGGGAACCATTCATGTACGCAGGAACAAACATAACTGGTGTACGTTTGTTCGACCCCGACAGCAGCAAAGTGAAAGACGTCTTGAGCTTCTGGAAGGACAAAGACAAAGACCTCCAAATATCAGGTGAAACTTTACGTGTGAGTAATCCTACAGAACTGGATCTACCAACTAAATTTATAACTTTGGTTGTCTTTGACTGAGAATTTGTGTGTAAAAGCTAAAAAATATGAAATAAATTATGGGAAAAATCTTTTAGAATATTTATTTATTTTTTGGGCTGAATAGTTGTGAATATTTTAAAAATATATTTTACCCCAACAGTTTGTAAGATTCACAGAAAATATTTATGTTCCTCTTAAAAATCATCGGTACAAAAAGAATAGTTTTCATAGAATCATCGAAATCAGATATCACACTGGCTTGTGCTTCTTCACTGGTATCAATTGTTTTGTAATAGTCAAAATTTAATCAAATTTTAAATATTAAAAAGTGCTGATCAATTATCATATTAGGACTCCATTGCAAAAGTTTTCTATTTCCACATTTAATTAACGATTAAATCATATAATACTAATTCAAAACAAAATAATTTTGTATTATCCCAGGTTATTTTACAGTTAATTGAATGAAATAAGAAGAAATGTAACCAATAGCAACAATGAAACTCAAATACATTTTTAAAGAAACCATAATCTAAACATTGGGTCCAGAAGCTTAAGTTGTCTGCTTATTTGTAGTTGATTATTTTTTAATGTCTTTTTTTCATTGCCTATTACTACGTCTAAAATAAGTCTGGCAAGGTATTAGATATACAAATAATACAAAATATATGAACACAACTCTTGATACATGTTTATTTCTTAATAATAAATGTAAACATTGAATTATTTTAAATATGAAATTATTCCAGTCATATGATCAATATTAAATAAAAGATAGATTATTTGGAATATATAACAATTCCTCCCTACTTATTTAAGAGAATGTTCATTTACAAGTTCATCCTTTTAATTGGTTTTCTTATTCTCAATGAGCGGCGAATTTTAGGGACAGGAACATCTGGTTGTGAGTTTGCATTGGACACTTCAGCGTCTTGTTGTGTACTTGGCTCTTCGGCCTCTTGTCGGCTGCTTGTACGATGGATTGTACATGACACTTCATTGTTATGTATAGGGCTTTTTTCCTCAATATTAGGCATAGTGCTTGCTGTAGGACCCGATGTTTCAGTGTCTATAGTTCCTTCCCAGCTTGGGGTGTTACTTGAGACATTTTCTGTATCTTTTGTGACTTTTCTGAATTGCTTATTGATTTCCTTAACATACCGTACCTTGTATTTCCCATGAATATAGGTTGTCTTGAACAATTTTGATTGGTATTTTGGAATATTAAAGTTCGATTAGTTTGCTTTGGTGGTACTTTGGCTTTTGGGTCGCATCGGTTGTTTGAACTTTCTTGCCTTGTTTGTGTCAATGAGCTAGGTAGAGGGCTTTTGTAATGAGTAGAATCTTTTGGCACTTGACAAGCTCGAAGTTGATTGAAGTGGCGTTTTATTACATACCCATCATCAATTTCTACGAGATAGTGAAGTCGTCCGAGTCTTTCCACCACAGTTCCAAATTTCCACAGAATGGATCCTGCGTAGTTTCTTGATTGTACTCTTGCGACGCGTACTTTCTGCACTGGAAAAAAATAATATTAAAAGTAAGTGCAGTCGCAACCGTTTGCCGGGGATAGCTCAGCCTACGATGGCTGGGTAAAGTTCCAGGGTCTGCGATAAGGTCAGGGAAACCACTAGGCCAAAAGCCGGGTCTAACCGGTATAGGACTGGCTCATACACGGGCACTGTGAACAAGTCAAAAACAAGTCACCAAAACAAACGTGCAATAATCACTACCAGGCCTACGCCGATTCTCCACACTCCTAGGGGGTCGTTGCTGACTACGCAACTCGGGCTTCGTCCTAACTATCCAATAGTTAAGCCTAGAGTGCCTAAAACACGGTGAGTTACACGACGACTTGCCAATAAAAACCACAACGCGTGTTATCACCAGGCGGGGTCTACTAGGCCACTATAATCCAATACACAACTCTAATGCCCAAGCTAACAATCAAACAGTTCACTCAATAATCGTACCACATAATAATATACAAGTACACTATAGGTCGAGTGACTACACCACTAGTAGCTGGTCTCAATAAATACCAAACCAAACAAGCAAAACTAAATGGCAATTGCACTATTAAAATATTGAGCTACTTAGTAGCAGATAAATAAATATTAAATACGTTCCAAACACTAGATAAATATATTATCTGATAGCCGGTACTCCGCTATCCAAGCTACCAAGATAACGTGTTGGACTACCAAACAAGCTGTTCAGGTTAAATTAAAATAATCAACTGAATAAACAATAACAACCCTATTACTGCTACTGCTACTACCAACTTTATGTTACTTAGCTGGGCTTCTGTTAATTGGCTAATAATATTAGCTACTAGCCTACTGGCCACGTGTTTCCAACTACGCACGCTAAATCGTGCAGCCTAGGTTTGTCGGGCCTCAGAGTTATTAGTAATATAACTAACTCTAGGTATAACGCAAAATAATATCTACTACAGGCAATTAAATTATATTATTTGCGCTCTAGCACCTGCCCAGAACCGTCAGGAATACACTTTAATATTATTCCTGACTAATATAAATCCTAACTACCGTCAGGCTTTGACCAGCACGGTTACAACTCTAACTATCGCAATTATATCAGATAATAATATTATCAACTCTTAAACAAAAATGTAAGGAACGTCGTCCACTCACCAATAGTGGGTCTGTACCCAACTTACACCAACACTCGGCGCGATCACACCACCAACGTACTCCGACACCACTGTCACGTACACTCCTCTCTACGTACACCACACCGACGTATCCCAGTCGTCCACAAGACACCACACTATCCTCACTGTCCGGGATCCACGACTCGAATGTCCGTCCTAGGCTATCCTGAAAATCTAGGATATCCCAGGCTTATCGGCACTGATAAGCCGGGTCAAAGGGCGCTCGCTAGCTTCGCCGCCGCCGCTCGTTCACCTCAACAATCGGTGCGCGGCCAAATAGCAAAAATATACCCCCCTAGGGAAAATAACTCGTTACACTCTCTCCCCAATATTGTAATGTTTGTTAAATATTGGTTGTTGAGCCTCATTTTTGTCATCTTCGCCAGGCCTTAAGAGATCTAGCTTGGTTCTCAAGTTCCTGCCAAACATTAATTGTGCTGGGGATGCACCAGTACTCAGTGGTGTAGTCGGCGACTTCTCGCCCAACCAGGTTAACTACGGACCCAGTGTCCAATAACGCCTTAAAAACGCTGCCCATCAGCACAACTTCAACAAAGGGCCTTGTCTCCGAAACCAGCCGGTTCTCGTCTACTCCACCAACCAGGCTGTCTAGTTTTCCGAGCCACTCGGACCACTCTTCTGAGGTCGTTCGTTTTGGGTGGCCTTGCCCAGTTGACCTCCTGATATCTGAGCTGGCCTGCCGTTTTCCGCACGACATCCACACTGACTCACCGTCAAACCAGGTTCGCCACACCCAAAACAGGAGACGGTCCTTGGTTTACCACATTCTCGGGCAAAGTGACCAATCTCCTGGCACCTAAAACATTTCACCGTCCCCTTTGGACCCTCAGGCACTCTAGCTGCTGTCACGGGCCGTTGACCGTGGACCCGATTCAACTTCGAAGCCACCCGCCCAAGCGACTCAGCTTCCGGAGATGGTCTCTCGAAACTCCGCTTCTCGACGGCGGCAGTTTCGGCACGCTTCTCCACCTTCTTTTTGTGTGTGTAGGCGGTTTCCAAAACCAGCGCTACGTTCAGAGAAGGAGGAGGTCTAAAGGCCACCTTCTCTCGCAGATAGGCCTCGTAATCTTCGGCTAACTCAACCATCTCGGCCAGATTGCGGAAGTCCCGCCGTCGCACCATGAGTTTGTACTCTGGTCGCATGTTGTTGTAGATCAAGTCCAATCTACCATGCTCTGACAACGTACCGCTACGCCTAAGCAAGGTACTTATGGCAACAACGTAGTCCCGGAAGTGCTCGCCTTCACCCTGTGTCCTTTTCCGGATCTCCTCATCCAAGTTCCTCCAATATCCTGGTGGGAAGAACTGGATTTCAAACTGACGCCGGAAAGCTTCAAAGGAATACAGGAGCTCCTTGCAATTCCTGTACCATAGAAGCGCTGAGCCTTGCAACAGCTCCGGCAGCGCTCTGAGCAGGTCCTCTGATGTTATAGAGTACGAGACCATCAGCTCTTCAAGGCGCTCCAGGAACGACACAGGGTCTCGTCGGCCATCAAACCTTAAACCCCACTTCCGTACCGTGTTGCATACTTTGGAGCAATTCTTTGGCTCCACCCTGCTGGCCTCATTTGAGAGCATATCCAATCCTCGTGGCAGCTCCAAGCTAGAAGGACGGACTGGTCTCTCTGAATTATCATTGGGCCGCTGCCATCCCTCGGGTCTACTTGGTAACCCAAAGGTAGACAGCTGATCAGCCACAACAGGGGACGTAGGGTTGGCGGGTCTTTCGAACCCATAGCCGACCTCATTACTCGGCGAGCCCCTTGCCTGTCGCACCACCGATGCCAGATGTTCTCTAAGAGTCCGGGTATCAGTCTCCAAAGACAACCCAAGGATCTCTTTAACCGCCTCTAACTCACTGCTAAGTCCCACTATCTCTGCTTGATTCGATCCCGTATTACCCAGTACCTGAGGTACGGTTCTCAGGGGGTCAGGAAGCTCCACAGTTGTAGTAGCCGGCGGTACATATGTCGGTGCAGCAGCCCCAGCCGTACACAGCCTATCATCGCTGTACCGACGGGCATTCCGCTGCTTCCAAAACGACGAGAATCTCTGCCGTAATTCCGCAGAAGTTCCAGTGGTCACCAAACCATACTGGTCCATCGTCCTCATGAGCTCCCCTTTCGAGAGGTCATATATCCAACCCACGCGACCGTCCCGGGGCTGCGACCCCAAGGACATAGTCGCTGGCGCGGAATAAGTCAGAGACGTTGTCACCGTCGTAGCCACGACCGATGAAATAGTCGGCCAAACGAGCGAAGACGCCGGCCACAATGAC